AATAATTATTAACTTTTGAAATTCATTGAAGTGAAATAAAACAACAGCTTATCCAATCTAACAATGAACTTCAGACACCAATTAATCTCTCGATCCTGCACGTTTCTCAATTTCCCACGTGGTGACCTTTTATAATTTAAAGAGACGATATTACACACTAGTACTGTGGTCAGCCAGCCGAACGACTATATACGCGTTTCAGGCACAATCGTGCACATCTAAGATCTTTCGTCCAAGCTGGTGGATATGTCAGTGTAACAACTTACTCTTTTACAGATCGACAACTCCAACAAGATACGATAATGTAATTTTTTCACATTGCCAATATTTATGAATGGCTGTTTCATTTCGTGCAAAAAATTAAATTTATTGCATCGCAACAGCTTTTTTTGTTTATTTAGTTATTCAGCAAATAATTTACCACCTCTCACTGAAATTTAGTCTCCTCTTAAATAGTGCAAAAGAAATGTTTACATTTACAACAAATTTGCATAGAGGGCAAAAAATTGGATAGAAATGAAGAACATTGCGACTGCATTAACTTATTTGCCTCTTTCCTATCACTGTCGTCATAAAATGTATTCATACTTCATTCAAAACAAAAATAACTACATTAATGTTAAAAACAAACAAAGCAAAACAAAAAAATTAGTCTCGCTGCGGTATTGACAAACTACCAGTGACTCCTCTTCAGTTTTAGAGGCATTTACGTGATTCAGAAGAGACTTGCAGTAAACTCAGTCTATTGGCCGATGTGATGAGTAAATAACAGGATTGGTAGAGAAAAAAATGGGTCAATTTGTGGCCTAAGATTTACAACGTTAGCTATCTATAATTGTGATGGTACTGAGGCTAGTGATAAGGATAATTTGCTAACTTACTTATAAGATTTTCAGTGTTCAGCTGGTACTTATATTTCACTCTTCCAATTTTTATCCACGCATACTCAGCGTTAACAGTTGTGTCATTAGTTACTCCCATATCTACGCGAAGGTTGTTTTCTAACTTATTTCCCGTCAAGCGGCGGATCTTTTCCAATTCAAGCCAATATTTGCCAATGAGGAAATTACCGAAGCCACGTTTGTAGTCATCCCAGGTGTGGTTGAAATCAACAAAGCCATTCAGCCTCTACTGTATCACTGTCCATCCTCGACCAGCTGTTGTCTGCTCGCAATATACATCAAAGGGAGCTTTGTCATCAGGATAGATTGTATAAACACCGCTGATTCTTTGACCGCCTTTGAAAACCTCGGCACAGTTCCTGGCTGTTCAAAAAATAATGATGATTAAAGTTTGAATAAACGGTTGTGAATATAAGGGAGTCATATCTTCGCAGTAATGAACACTACTTACGTAGTAGTGAAAAGAAGGCCTGAAAAAAATTCAGGCCTGTACGGGATTGGAACCCATGACCTTTGCGATACCGGTGCAGTGCTCTACCAACTGAACTACCAATTCCAATTCAATTCAATTTTATTTGTTAGCAATACAATATTATCACAGACCTAGGTGACCCGCAATTAGCAAGCTATTCTAGGCGGGCCACCCTTCTAAAACAAGTGCTGTCTCTGCTAAGGATCACATACCGATACAATTAAACAAAGATAATCATTAATAAAAATACAATTGTTAAATAAAATAAAATAAAATTAAGTCCGTTGAATAATTAAATAATCAATTGCAAAGTTATCAAGATATATAATACAATTGAAACAAGACTTAAACGAAGAGTTACTTTATCAAGAGATATTTACAAATTTCAGAGCAGCGTATATCAACATTCATCTCCTCAATTTCCAAAAGTTTTAACAGGCGATTTTTAAGTTCACGCTTAAACGGGGTTCTGTTTTTAATACGAAGTTCTTTTGGGATGCTATTCCACAATCTTACACCTATTCTAGCAAAAAAAGAAAATAAAAGTTGGTTAGTTCTAGACGCTTTAACGTACAGATTAGCCGTTGCTGAGAATCTTGTGAAATGGTGATGAACCTGCTCGGAGTGGATAAAGAGCATAGAAATATTAGACGGGGCACGGTGATTATCAATGTCATGCATCAAAGAGGAAACCAAATGAGAATAGAGCATAGTTATTGGTAAGATTCTGGAGTTAACAAATAGCGGGGCACTATGAGATTTGCTATCCGCAAAATACATTAGTCGTAGAGCACGTTTTTGTAAAATGAGAACCTTATTTAAATGAGTGTTAGCAGCTTGTCCCCAGGCAATAAGACCATAAGAGATATAGGGTTCAATTAAGGAGCGGTAGATGTTAAGAAGTGTGGCAAATGGGACAAGATGTCTTAACCTGGCAATTATACCAATTCCTTTACTAACTTTAGATGAGATATAATCAATATGATACTTCCAAGAGAGGTTATTATCTATCAGAATTCCTAGATATTTCACAAAAAGTTTTTGTTCTAGAGATACACTTTTTTTAAGATCGTTATTATAAATTTTCAAGTGAACTATGTAGTCCAATTTGCGTTGGTAAGGATGGAAAATAACAAAGTTAGATTTACTAGTGTTAAGAGAAAGTTTGTTTGCGTCCAACCAGTCACCCACTTTTGCGAGTTCATCATTAACAACTTTTTCAAGATCCTTAAGATCTTTGTTTGAATAAAAAGCAAGTTAGTATCGTCAGCAAATAGGTAAAACTCAAAAATCTGGGAGCAACGGTAAATGTCGTTAACATAAATCAAAAAGAGAAGGGGGGCCAAGTACAGACCCTTGAGGGACACCACAAACTATCTCTTCTATATTCGACACGGTTGAACCAATTTGAGTCGACTGGTTCCTGTTCAACAAGTACGAAGAGAACCAGTTATTAATTATTCCTCTGACTCCATAATGATATAATTTGTGCAGTAAGATTGAGTGATCCACCGTATCAAAAGCCTTTTTTAGGTCAATAAAAATACCACAAGAGAATAACTTTGCATCAATATTAGTTTGAATTTTGCTTAAGATATCTAAAATTGCATGTTGGGTTGAACACTTGTCTCTAAATCCATATTGAGAAGTAAAAAAGATACCGTTTTTTTCGCAATGTGATTTAAGACGTTTAGCCATCAATTTCTCAAATAATCGATTGAAGACAGAAAGGAGGGAAATTGGGCGGTAATTACATGGATCAGTTTCGTCTCCCGATTTGTAGATAGGAATTACTTTGGCATGCTTCAAAAGATGGGGATAAATACCCGTTGAGATAGACTTATTCATCATGGCAGCTAAGAGTGGAGAAAGGATATGGCGCCCAGATTTTAAAAGATGAACCGGGCAAGAATATAGGCCATATACTTTATTACTGGGTATAGCCAAGATTTCCAAGTCCACCTCGGATGGAACGACGGGATCAAAAAGAAAGACTTAAAGTGATTAGTGCCGACAAGGTAGTCCTGGAAATTTATCCTGAAGGTGATATATTGCGTGCAAGCCGCGGTCCAATAGACGCAAAGTACTGATTAAAGATATTGGTTATTTCAGACGGATTTTGTGTTACTCCAGAGTTGTTAGAGCGTTGAAGGGCTGATACTGTTTTTCTGTTACGCTGTCTGTTCAATAGTTCATTAATCCCCTCCCACGTTTTTTTTAACATTTCTTAGATTTGTAGTGAAGTAAGCTTCATAATACAATCTTTTACTGAGACGAGAAAGAGTAACAATTCTATTCCTATACAGCTTATATTTTGAGATATCTCCTGAATAAAAGAGTCTATTCTTTATTTTGATAGATTTACGTAGGCCCTTAGTTATCCACGGTTTGGAAAATTGTTTAGCCTTGCGCCTAGATAAGATTTTGAGAGGAGCGTGTTTATTAATGAGCTTGTTAAATTTATTGTAAAAGGAAGAAAAGCATTTGTCTACAGATCCATATGTCATTGAGTTATCCCAATCAGTATCCAAGACATCATTAATAAAGCATTCTTCAGAGAAGTTGGAATAATCGCGAATTTTATGTTTAGCAGTAAAATTTTTTGGTATAAGACTGTGGATAAAACAAAATTGGGAGTAGTGATCACTAATGTCTGACACGATATTTCCACCTGAAATTTTATGATCAAATCTATTCAGAAATATATTATCAATGAGTGTGGCAGAATTATTGTAGACTCTAGTTGGTTTATCAATTACCGGGAAGAACGAATAACATTGTAAAGATAACAAAAATTTTGGGAGTAATTGGAAATTTCAGATTTGAGGAGATCAATATTGAAATCGCCCATAAGATAAACAACTTTATCAGAGGAGCTAAGTTTTTCTAAAGTAAAGTCAACATAATGGAGGAATTGTTCCGGATCATTATGCTGCCTATAAATCACTCCACAAACGATATTTTTACTCTTTAGGGATTCAATTTCGATCCATAAAGCCTGAAAAGCGTCTTTAGATGTTCTCTCCAGAACCTTATATTTCAAACAATTATTAATGTACATTCCAACACCTCCACATGATAGAGGTGTTGGGACATATTCAAACTGATAGTTTGGTATGCAGGCATTGAAATCTAGCCCAGATGAATTTGTAATTTTTGTTTCTGTAATACCGATTACACTGAATTGGTAGTCAAGTTCATCTAAAAGATGGACTTGAAAATTATCAATGTTTTTCCGCAAACTTCTTACGTTAGTATGAAGCATAGAGAAAGGACATTGACTATCTGATTCCAACAAAGACTCTTTAAACATAGAAAAACTATAGGGTGAGAAATATTTACATCTAATTTGTTGCATGCTTAAGTTTCTGTCGGGATTTAATGTTGATTCGGTATTTAAGCGAAACAAATCTAAATCATAAATACTATGAAGTTTGTCTAAGTACTTCTTGGTCGGTAAGTCACTGTTGAGAATGTTATTAAACTGTCCATGAGCTCTAATAATTTCAACATTCGCGTATGGAAGTTCGCTTAGGGTAGATTTAATTGTACAACGAACACGTTTCTTGCTAACACTCATACTTATTATCTAAAAACACAAAACAACTCTACATCAACATGAATACTTAGCCTTCACGTCCATTCGTTAATCGGTGCAGGTCCGTGATATCCTTAATCTTGATGGCTCGAGACGTGGTATCTTTACGAAGATAAACAAGCGATCCCTTCGACCAGCAATACTGATAGTGAAACTGCTCCTTGAACCTCTTAGCTTCAAATAAAACCTTTTGCATCCTTGGCGTTAAATGGTCAAAAATTCTAACAGCGGAAAGGGAGGCATCGTCAGGTAAACCAACAGCAGATGGGGCAACTTTACTTGCATTTCTTTTATGATTCATGACATCATCTTTTGACAATCGTCTAATAAATCGGCAAATGATTGGCCGCGGGCCGCCATTGTCATTGCTTCTCGTTGGGACTCGATGGGCTGTGTCAATGTCATGAATTGATACAGCGGATCCAATTGCCTTAAATAAACATTCACATAGCGCACTCGTAGAAGCCGAGGATTCATCTTGACTCAATTGAGGGACACCAACAATCTTAACATTATATTGATAACTGTACTCTTGAAATTCATCGATGCTCCTGGAAACTCTGTTAACTTCAACAGCAATCTCATCAAGCATGGCACCTAAGCGATCAAGTTCTTTACCAGCAGAGACCCTGAATCGCTCAAAGTCATCATATTCTTTACTCATGAATTCTAAGCTTTGCTCTACTTCGTCATTAGTCGCTGCAGGTTTTTTTGACTGCTCCAGCAGCATCACCTTCATCTTAGCAATCTCATCCGCCATGACAGACAGTTGATCTTTAAGCTTACTGTTCTCTCTCTTAAGGCTAGCAACAGACTCGGGCATTCTTGAATCTCTCAGAAAGCAAAAAAAGAAAAACGATCGTGAAAAAAGAAACGAAAAATTATCCAAAACGAAACGAAAAATTATCCAAACTTGATTAAGATTAGCGGAGCTCGTAAAGTAACGTCCGTCCTGACCAACTCACCGCTGACCACCTAACAATCCAACTGGGAGCTGGTCACTGTGTTGGTTCCAAATAAACCCGTGAAGTGGTGAATAAACGGTTGTGGGAGTCATATATTTGAACTGCGGTTAAAGACGTGAATGTGAAAGCGATCTTCGCAGTAATGAACACTACTTATTAAGTAGTAGTGAAAAGAAGGCCTGGAAAAAATTCAGGCCTGTACGGGATTTGAACCCATGACCTCTGCGATACCCGCACAGGCCTGAATTTTTTTCAGGCCTTCTTTTCACTACTACTTAAGTAGTGTTCATTACTGCGAAGATCGCTTTCAATTCAATTAAAGTTTGGTTGGTTTGATCAAGAGCAACAGAGAAAGAGCATGAAACATGAGCATGAAATTTCAAAGAAAGACAAACTCGTAGAGGTCAAGTAAAAGGAACAAACAGCGAGTAAATAACTAGCACTTTTTAAATTAGAACTTTGTGAAGCAGACACTGTACGATGAATTTTTTTCACCAACCTTAAAGCTGTATATTTTATGATGAAGCGCGGTTGTAGACTACATCAATTTCAACTGCGTAACCTTTTATTCATTCTAAGGGTGTGAAACTGTGGGCTTGATGAGAATATGCTTGAAGGCAACTCTATTTCCTATAAATACTCTTAAAGGAGAATTTTTGAAACTTTGCTTCTGTATGTCATTTCTTGAATGAACAGAGGAAATTGAACGCGATGGACATGCGCACGTACTACAACCAGACAAAATATTTTACGATAAAATATTACCATCTTTTGCGAGTCAGAACAATAAACTCACGATTTATCGAAAAGTGCGACCTTTCTATGCTATTTACTTTTTGCCTTTAAGTTTGGGGGTGATTAAGTATTATCGACTGAGTTGATAACGCTTTGACGAAGGGCTAACGCTCGAAACTTCAACTTTGAAACTCTTAACGGTGGCCAGTTTACGTTATCAACTCAGCTGATGATACTTTATTTCCCTGTTATACTCTCTAACCGACACATGCACCACAGTTTCTTTAGAAACGTACTCACTTCAATTATTTCTGAGCACATTGATTAAATGCTCTGTTTACTGTTGTATGGCAAACCGAAGTTATCATATGCAATTAAATCGGAGTGAAGTAGACGTAATACTTAAGACTCAAGAAAGGAGTGTTATGTTCCCCGGGGGATTCCCGTTAGGTCAATGATGAGGTTGCACAATTTCAATGGGCAACGGAAACCTCAAACTCCTTTAAAGGAATGAAATGTGTCATTAAAAGCACGCTACACTTGTATTAAGCGGATAAAGAATTAAAAAGACAAAATTCTAGAGAGCTGCCCTATTTGGATCCTTTTATTTGTTTCATTTTTGCAGAACAATGTAAACTCACTATAAATAACGAAAAAACAGCTAATTATAATGGTAACGGATTCCGATTAATTAATGTTATGTGTAGCCAACCATGAAAGTGTAATGTCTAGTAAATATATATTCTTGAGTGGAAACATTAAGATAATTTGCATGGAATGATCAGAAATCAATTGCTAATCGATGCAAGTCTTACTCAAGCTGCGTAATGATAACTCCGATTTTTTAACGGTTTGAATTTCATAGAAAGACTTACTTATGAAAGTTTTGAAATAAGCCGCGTAACGATCAGTTTCATGCACCTTACCTTTCTAAATTTTTGCTTTGCTTATTTTAACAATTACATCAACCTTTCAAAACTGTGTAATTTTGTTGCTTTCAGTGACGCGGAAACATTTCATTAAAACGTTCTGGCTTCGGGTACTTCCAAATTCTTATAGATATATATATATATATAAAGATTCAAGACCTGTTGCTACAGGATCTGTTCTAGTCACACTGACTCTTACGTTGATGTACCCCGTAGATGATGACTGTACATCTTTTGAAGATCACCTGAGGGCTTACAGTAAAATGACTCACGCTTTCATTTTATAATTATGGGTGAGATTCGCAGTAAATTGTGATCCTCACCTTGAATCGCCTGTGATCTTTCTTATGCAATCATAGCCTGATTTTGATGGAATATTTGATTCCTTAATGAACTCATACAGTTTAATGTGATGAAATCAATTTTTAAGTTCACCTGTATTTATCATATCCAGAAAATAAACCGCTGTGTAAGTTAGTTTCCGCCGCGTTCACTGACGTGGTTTCCATGAATATTTTCTGACCCGAAACTCTTAATTGTCCATTTATCGCAGGCGTTCCAGGCTCACGATTTGAGAAAAAGCAAACGAGTAATTCATGAAAGCGTCATGCGTTGTGTAACTCGATGTTAAGTTACTAGAGGAACCATTTAGGATTTTAATACGTTATAAGGAACTTCCGTCTTATAACAAAAATAACAGTGATGGCAAAACAAGCTTCAACAGCAAAGAAAGCCGGAAACTACAACGGACACACATGATGTGAGTAATTTCTAATGATTTTACGTGTAAACTGTTTATATTTCGAAATCGTTATAAATCGACCGTATTTCGTACCCCATACTATTCCTTATAACATGTTGAAATTCTTAACGATTCCTCTCGTAACACCGAGTCACACAACGCGTGACGCCTTCGTGAATTTATCGTTTGCTTTTTTTCCGAAACGTGACCATGGGACGCATTTGAGTTTTTAAAAGAAAATATTTTTGTAAGAACGGTTGCTACGGGGGCAGTTTGATTTCCGTTGACTCGTAAGAATGCGTCACGAAAATAGTGACGGCACACCTGGAGATTTCAATTGATCTAAGGAATTTTAGCGTTATATCTTAGACTTATGCGATGCTTATGAATGAAATTGATTAAAAAAAAAATTAGTCCTCGTGACCTTTTTGATAAGACAGTCAACATACATTAATTCTTTAACTACATTTAAGAAATGACGAGGTTTCGCCTTAGAATTTGGCTTGCTAATCAGCTTTTGTTGTAGGAGTTTATTTCACTGAACTAGGATTTTATTTTGATTTTGATGTTTGAACGAGCAAAGGAGGAGATATCTTTAAAGAAAAAAAAAATTAACAGACTTCACACTCACTACGACTCAAAATATGTGGTCAATATTCTTACGTTAATTGATCAAGAGTTACATTTGTGGTATGTTTCAAATATCCTTCACAATTTGGAAGGGAGATTCCCGAGGAATTCAGTTGTCTTCGAGCATTTTCTTATCACGTTTCGAGGTTTCAATAGCTGGGTATAAATACAAGGTTGAGCAGTTGTAAATTCTTCAATCTACAATTGTGTACATGAACTACTCTCATGCTTAAAGGTCGGAGAAGAAAAAACTTTGCATCATGCCTAATTTGCTGCTCAGTGTGACACTTTTATTCTCGATTCAGTTGTTATCTTCAGTTTTTGGATTTGAGAAATGTAAGAGGGAAGCCATTCTCTGTTATATTGTGATAGCCACTGTATTGTTTCTTTTACTTGGTTTCATATCATTTGTTTTTTTCCCTATTTTAAACTCTTTACTTGATAATCTAATAGAAGATCAAACTATTTTCTTGTCAGCTTTAAAAGCTAAGAACTGTGCTGAGCTTTACTACTCTGATCAAAGAATCAGCGGTGTTTATACAATCTATCCTGATGATAAACTTCCCTTTGATGTATATTGTGACCAGACAACAGCTGGTGGAGGATGGACAGTGATCCAAAAGAGACTGAAAGTTTCCGATGATTTTAACCGCACCTGGGATGACTACAAACATGGCTTCGGTAATTTCCTCGTTGGTGAATATTGGCTTGGATTGGAAAAGATCCGCCGCTTGACCGAAAATAAGACAGAAAACAGGCTTCGAGTAGTTCTTGGGGTAAAGGCAACGAAGCGACTAGTTCCTAAAAAAACTTTTTACGCTGAATATGCGTGGCTTAAAATTGGAGACGAGGAAGCGAAGTACAAGCTGAATCTCGGAAATATTATAGGTAAGCCCAAGACAATCAACGTTAATAGAAGCTAAACTTTTATCATGATTATACGTAACTAGTTTTATAGGTCTCTATCCACATCTCGACTCATTCAGTCTCTTTCAATCCTGTTATTAATTTGCAATTCACGTTTGCCAAACGACTCTGTTCACAGTGTGTCTAATCTAAGTCATGCAAAGGCCTCTCACGCTGATAAAGTGGCTCGCCTCTTTGTGACTCAGTGGCAGTGTTTCAAGACCACTCTACATCAAGTTCCAAATTTTTTTTGTTTTTTTTTTCAACCAGTAAGGTGGTCGAGATGATAACATATTTATCCTATCTTTCCGCTCCTCCACAGGGTAGTATCTTACGGGCTTAAATTGATATCAATGCTTATTTTCTCTATTTCCCCTTCTTTTTAGACATGACTGTTGGTAACGATTCTCTCAGTCATCATAATGGCTTCAAGTTTGGTACCTTTGATAAACATCACGCTGGCCCTAAATGTGCGTCAAAAAGTGGAGGAGGCTGGTGGTACGATGAGAAATGTGCTGGGCTCTCAAATCTCAACGCTGGATCGGAAAAGATCTCTTGGGCAAAGCTAGATCGCAAACTTGCTGCTGGCAGTGCTCCCAAGACAACTGAAATGAAAATCAGACCTATGAACTTTTCTTCAATTTTATTAACTCATTAGTTTGTTTAAAAATGTGATTGAAGGGCCGGTGAGTAAGGTACAATAAGCGTAGTAAATTAAAGCATTCCTATAACCATTTGATGATGTACAACCAAGCATAAAAATGCTTGTTTCAAATGCTTGATTGTTTGAAATGAAGTAGAAATGCATTTATAAAAACAATGATATGTAAGAGGCAAATAAGTTTATACAGTCGTGCTGTGTTTTGTTTGTATACAAATATTAAAGCTTTTATTTTTATGCAAATTTGCTGCAAATTTGTGTCTTTCGTTGCCACTATTTAATTAGAGATAAAATTCAGTAGAAGATGGTGAACTATCTAACTTGTAAGTTAGAATAACGAACACCAGCTTTGAAGCTATTGAGATGTAAATAAGTAAATTTTCAAATGTAATAGAACGGCTTTTTAAAAATATTGGCGATGGTGAGGAGACTTACTTAATTATTCATCTTTCAGAAATAAAGATTTAATTGCTTAGACCAGGAGCAAAATTATTGGAATCTTTGTTTACTTCAATTCCTCAGTGGAATGTTAGTCTCCTTTATCTGATTAACATTTATGAGAAAAACTTATATATCCAAAAGCTTGGATCAAAAATTTTAACCTTGTTGTGATTGCCGGTAAAATTGTGCCCCATTGTGAACAAAGATGTTCTCAGCTGAGCTCGAAACTTGGTCCGGTCCTTGGTATATTCTCTACTAAAGACTACGTTGGATCGCCTGACCTTGAAATCAATTAACAATTTGCGTTATTGGTCCAGTTAGACAGAATCAATTAGGTGTGACAAAATCGATTCTAAATATAGCCCTTGGAAAAAAACGAAAATATTCCTAGCCAATCTATCACTGTTTTGTGGCCATTAGGACACTTATCTTTTTATTGAACGTGTTTTTCTATCAATAGTTCTTTTATAAGGCCAAGGCTACGGCAAGAGTTCTCAGCAAGTCAAATCACAATGCAACCATAATTGGAGGATGCAAACAAAGTTTGGTTATTCTTTGGTTGATGATCACTTTGTCATTCCCGACTGACGTTCATTAAATCATTTCTTAAGAAGATCTAATAGCTGGGCAGCTTTCGGTAAATTAGATGCACAAAACAGCTAACAGATGGTCTGTGTGTTTAGATTGCTTTTTCTGTTTTTGTTTTTTTATGAAATCAAGTTCAAATGTTTTTTGTAGTCCCTTGCCATTCGATACTTCCTCGTAATTTTTCTGTTTGCCTAAATGGTTTAAAAACGAACAGTATGAATTAATAGATATAGAGAAGAAGGGACATAGATGTTTATGCTTAATGGTTGGCCGTTTCAATACATCCTTTTCAAATGTGTTTCTGCTCTGTGAACGCAACTTTTGGGAGGTCAAACTTGTAAGGTCGCTTGATTTGCGGGGTTTGATGTCTGATTATCTATTTACGTTATGCAGCAGCTCCCTGACTTAAAGCCAAGGTTTTTCTAGTCTAGACCTCAGATAAATCCTCGCAACAGCCTCCATGCTATCAGATGTTAGACAGATGTCAGGTTTAAGGAACAATTTTTGATTTGAAGTTCGTTGAAATCAAAAAGTTTCTATAAGAGTTTCACAATGTTGATTTCGATATCTTGCTGTTTCAGAAAGATAAGTTCAGGTCACGGCAGGGGCTAAAGGACAATACCTTACGCCAGGGTCTGTTAGTTTCTCTTTAGTCTCAGAGAAGACTAAGTCCCCGACATTTCAACTTTTGAATTTATATTCAAGTATGATGGAGTTCGTGTGAACTTACTTAGTGCGTAACGGATTTGACACGAGACTGACAGCTTTGAGGTTATTTCCTCCAATAAAGATATTCACTTCATCGTGACAAAACCGCAGTTTACCGTCACAAGTTATGGATATTGATCCGAGTCAGTTGAGATCTGCGTGACAACGGATGGAGTAACCATATTTTTTTTTAAAATGTTTTTTAAAAATAACTTCCCATTGCCATTAATTATAGTTAGGTTACCTCGACTTCATTCTAAATGATTTATGAGGGTTTCCGGTGTTGCGGTGTTGACTCTTTTTTTTTTTTTTTTTTTTTTTGGATGCGGTATTTCGGTGAACAACAGCTTGTATTGCGGTGTGGAGGTGATCTCAAACCTTACGGTGTACGATGTTTTTAATTTCAAACCGACGGTGTCCGGTGAAATAAACCATTTCCGGTGTTGCAGTTTATTCTTTAACTCTTTTAGAAACTAGATTTTGACAACATGTGCTGATTGACCACAGGCCGTTTTCGTTTATTTTTTACTTGACCTCTGGACCTATACCACACACATTGTCGGCCAACCAAAGACCAGCGCGTGATAAAAATGAGTGAGACTCGTCAAGATAACTGCATAATCGAATGCCTTGTTTTTTTACTTCGAGGAGGGAAAAGATGGTGAGAACTACTGTGAGAAGTGTTAATTTAGATGCTGGGTTCAGAGAAACGAAAAGAGCCTTTCAAAAGCTAAAGGAAAGCATTACGTAGGTTTTTTAAACACGTTAGCATTCTAATACCCTCATAACTTGAATAAGTCACCATCTTTGAGAGGTCAGTCTACAGGAGTCAAAATATCGAGGAACATGCGACGGAAAAAATAAGCCACGGGAAATTTTAAAGATGGTAGAGCAGAATGCTATGTTATTGAAACGGACCATCAGCATGAATTAGAATTCCCATCCATTTTAAACAGCAATGATAAGCTTCAACGTGAATTATTTATTTATTTTGCTTCGAATGTGAATTGATTATTTTTTTACAACAGTCACCTCGAGAAAGAAAGACGGCGATACCTAAATAGGAAAAACGCAAATAGGATAGAGGAGTGAATATGTAGAGAGCTATTCAAAGAGGTTTTTAAACACTCTTCATCACAGAAGTTGCAAAACACTATCTCAATACCCATGTTGTTTTTTCCTTCCAACTATAGCTATTGTCTATCCTATAAGAACCGTTTTTTCCAAAACTAGTTCCAAAACTGTTATCACGGAAAACTCCTCTAACAAGACTTTGACACCAACGCGACCCACACCAACAGAAGTATCACAGTCGGAACCAGAGGATCCCTCAGAGGAAGAGAAGAAGAACTTGAATGAAGGTGATTGTATAGATATTTAAGTCTATAGATGCATATCGAATAGAAAAGTTATCGTCGTAATCTTCTTGAAATCTTCTTGAAATTTTGACATAATTCGACAGTTAGCCCATGACGTATTCTTGGATGCTTAATGCAATGTCTGGTCGAGGTAAAGGACCATTTCTCACGTGATTTTTCGACATTTTTAACATTGGTCACATATCATCGCTACTGCTGAAACTACCCAGGACTTATTCAGACTATAAATACTAGAGGAACCATTTAGGATTTTAATACGTTATAAGGAACTTCCGTCTTATAACAAAAATAACAGTGATGGCAAAACAAGCTTCAACAGCAAAGAAAGCCGGAAACTACAACGGACACACATGATGTGAGTAATTTCTAATGATTTTACGTGTAAACTGTTTATATTTCGAAATCGTTATAAATCGACCGTATTTCGTACCCCATACTATTCCTTATAACATGTTGAAATTCTTAACGATTCCTCTCGTAACACCGAGTCACACAACGCGTGACGCCTTCGTGAATTTATCGTTTGCTTTTTTTCCGAAACGTGACCATGGGACGCATTTGAGTTTTTAAAAGAAAATATTTTTGTAAGAACGGTTGCTACGGGGGCAGTTTGATTTCCGTTGACTCGTAAGAATGCGTCACGAAAATAGTGACGGCACACCTGGAGATTTCAATTGATCTAAGGAATTTTAGCGTTATATCTTAGACTTATGCGATACTTATGAATGAAATTGATAAAAAAAAAAATATTCCTCGTGACCTTTTTGATAAGACAGTCAACATACATTAATTCTTTAACTACATTTAAGAAATGACGAGGTTTCGCCTTAGAATTTGGCTTGCTAATCAGCTTTTGTTATAGGAGTTTATTTCACTGAACTAGGATTTTATTTTGATTTTGATGTTTGACGAGCAAAGGAGGAGATATCTTTAAAGAAAAAAAAAATTAACAGACTTCACACTCACTACGACTCAAAATATGTGGTCAATATTCTTACGTTAATTGATCAAGAGTTACATTTGTGGTATGTTTCAAATATCCTTCACAATTTGGAGGGGAGATTCCCGAGGAATACAGTTGTCTTCGAGCATTTTCTTATCACGTTTCGAGGTTTCAATAGCTGGGTATAAATACAAGGTTGAGCAGTTGTAAATTCTTCAATCTACAATTGTGTACATGAACTCTCATGCTTAAAGGTCGGAGAAGAAAAAACTTTGCATCATGCCTAATTTGCTGCTCAGTGTGACACTTTTATTCTCGATTCAGTTGTTATCTTCAGTTTTTGGATTTGAGAAATGTAAGAGGGAAGCCATTCTCTGTTATATTGTGATAGCCACTGTATTGTTTCTTTTACTTGGTTTCATATCATTTGTTTTTTTCCCTATTTTAAACTCTTTACTTGATAATCTAATAGAAGATCAAACTATTTTCTTGTCAGATTTAAAAGCTAAGAACTGTGCTGAGCTTTACTACTCTGATCAAAGAATCAGCGGTGTTTATACAATCTATCCTGATGATAAACTTCCCTTTGATGTATATTGTGACCAGACAACAGCTGGTGGAGGATGGACAGTGATCCAAAAGAGACTGAAAGTTTCCGATGATTTTAACCGCACCTGGGATGACTACAAACATGGCTTCGGTAATTTCCTCGTTGGTGAATATTGGCTTGGATTGGAAAAGATCCGCCGCTTGACCGAAAATAAGACAGAAAACAGGCTTCGAGTAGTTCTTGGGGTAAAGGCAACGAAGCGACTAGTTCCTAAAAAAACTTTTTACGCTGAATATGCGTGGCTTAAAATTGGAGACGAGGAAGCGAAGTACAAGCTGAATCTTGGAAATATTATAGGTAAGCCCAAGACAATCAACGTTAATAGAAGCTAAACTTTTATCATGATTAAACGTAACTAGTTTTATAGGTCTCTATCCACATCTCGACTCATTCAGTCTCTTTCAATCCTGTTATTTACTTGCAATTCACGTTTGCCAAACGACTCCCTTCACAGTGTGTCTAATCTAAGTCATGCAAAGGCCTCTCACACTGATAAAGTGGCTCGCCTCTTTGTGACTCAGTGGCAGTGTTTCAAGACCACTCTACATCAAGTTCCAAATTTGTTTTGTTTTTTTTTTCAACCAGTAAGGTGGTCGAGATGATAACATATTTATCCTATCTTTCCGCTCCTCCACAGGGTAGTATCTTACGGGCTTAAATTGATATCAACGCTTAGTTTCTCTATTTCCCCTTCTTTTTAGACATGACTGTTGGTAACGATTCTCTCAGTCATCTTAATGGCTTCAAGTTTGGTACCTTTGATAAACATCACGCTGGTCCTAAATGTGCGTCAAAAAGTGGAGGAGGCTGGTGGTACGATGAGAAATGTGCTGGGCTCTCAAATCTCAACGCTGGATCGGAAAAGATCTCTTGGGCAAGGCTAGATCGCAAACTTGCTGCTGGCAGTGCTCCCAAGACAACTGAAATGAAAATCAGACCTATGAACTTTTCTTCAAATTTACTTACTCATTAGTTTGTTTAAAAATGTGATTGAAGGGCCGGTGAGTATGGTACAATAGGCGTAGTAAATTAAAGCATTCATATAACCATTTGATGATGTACAACCAAGCATTAAAATGCTTGTTTCAAATGCTTGATTGTTTGAAATGAAGTAGAAATGCATTTATAAAAACAATGATATGTAAGAGGCAAATAAGTTTATACAGTCGTGCTGTGTTTTGTTTGTATACAAATATTAAAGCTTTTATTTTTATGCAAATTTGCTGCAAATTTGTGTCTTTCGTTGCCACTATTTAATTAGAGATAAAATTCAGTAGAAGATGGTGAACTATCTAACTTGTAAGTTAGAATAACGAACACCAGCTTTGAAGCTATTGAGATGTAAAGAAGTAAATTTTCAAATGCAATAGAACGGCTTTTTAAAAATATTGGCGATGGTGAGGAGACTTACTTAATTATTCATCTTTCAGAAATAAAGATTTAATTGCTTAAACCAGGAGCAAAACTATTGGAATCTTTGTTTACTTCAATTCCTCAGTGGAATGTTAGTCTCCTTTATCTGATTAACATTTATGAGAAAAACTTATATATCCAAAAGCTTGGATCAAAAATTTAACCTTGTTGTGATTGCCGGTAAAATTGTGCCCCATTGTGAACAAAGATATGCTCAGCTGAGCTCGAAACTCGGTCTGGTCCTTGGTATATTCTCTATTAAAGACTACGTTGGATCGCCTGACCTTGAAATCAATTAACAATTTGCGTTATTGGTCCAGTTAGACAGAATCAATGAGGTGTGGCAAAATCGATTCTAAATATAGCCCTTGGAAAAAAACGAAAATATTCCTAGCCAATCTATCACTGTTTTGTGGCCATAAGGACACTTATCTTTTTATTGAACGTGTTTTTCTATTAATAGTTCTTTTATAAGGCCAAGGCTACAGCAAGAGTTCTCAGCAAGTCAAATCACAGTGCAACCATAATTGGAGGATGCAAACAAAGTTTGGTTATTCTTTGGTCGATGATGACTTTGTCATTCCCGACTGACGTTCATTAAATCATTTCTTAAGAAGATCTAATAGCTGGGCAGCTTTCGGTAAATTGGATGCACAAAACAGCTAACAGATGGTCCGTGTGTTTAGACTGCTTTTTTTGTTTTTGTTTTTTTTTTTATGAAATCAAGTTCAAACGTCTTTTGTAGTCCCTTGCCATTCGGAACTTCCTCGTAATTTTTCTGTTCGCCTAAATGGTTTAAAAACGAACAGTATGAATTAATAGATATAGAGAAGAAGGGATATAGATGTTTATACTTAATGGTTGGCCGTTTCAATACATCCTTTTCAAATGTGTTTCTGCTCTGTGAACGCAACTTTTGGGAGGTCAAACTTGTAAGGTCGCTTGATTTGCGGGGTTTGATGTCTGATTATCTATTTACGTTATGCAGCAGCTCCCTGATTTAAAGCCATGGTTTTTCTGGTCTAGACCTCAGATAAATCCTCGCAACAGCCTCCATGCTATCAGATGTTAGACAGATGTCAGGTTTGAGGAACAATTTTTGATTTGAACTTCGTTGAAATGAAAAAGTTTCTATAAGAGTTTCACAATGTTGATTTCGATATCTTGCTGTTTCAGAAAGATAAGTTCAGGTCACGGCAGGGGCTAAAGGACAATACCTTACGCCAGGGTCTGCTAGTTTCTCTTTAGTCTCAGAGAAGACTAAGTCGCCGACATTTCAACTTTTGAATTTCAAGTATGATGGAGTTCGTGTGAACTCACTTCGTGCGTAACGGATTTGACACGAGATTGACAGCTTTGAGGTTATTTCCTCCAATAAAGATATTCACTTCACCGTGACAAAACCGCAGTTTACCGTCACAAGTTATGGATATTGATCCGAGTCAGTTGAGATCTGCGTGACAACGGATGGAGTAACCATATTTTTTTATTATGTTTTTTAAAAATAACTTCCCATTGCCATTAATTATAGTTAGGTTACCTCGACTTCATTCTAAATGATTTAGGAGGGTTTCCGGTGTTGCGGTGTTGACTTTTTTTTTTTTTTTTTTGGATGCGGTATTTCGGTGAACAACAGCTCGTATTGCGGTGTGGTGGTGATCTCAAACCTTAGGGTATACGATGTTTGTAATTTCAAACCGACGGTGTCCGGTGAAATAAACCATTTCCGGTGTTGCAGTTTATTCTTTAACTCTTTTAGAAACTAGATTTTGACAACATGTGCTGATTGACCACAGGCCGTTTTCGTTTATTTTTTACTTGACCTCTGGACCTATACCATACACACTGTCGGCCAACCAAAGACCAGCGCGTGATAAAATGAGTGAGACTCGTCAAGATAACTGCATAATCGAATGCCTTGTTTTTTTACTTCGAGGAGGGAAAAGATGGTGAGAACTACCGTGAGAAGTGTTAATTTAGATGCTGGGTTCAGAGAAACGAAAAGAGCCTTTCAAAAGCTAAAGGAAAGCATTACGTAGGTTTTTTAAACACGTTAGCATTCTAATACCCTCATAACTTGAATACGTCATCACCTTTGAGAGGTCAGTCTACAGGAGTCAAAATATCGAGGAACATGCGACGGAAAAAAATAAGCCGCGGGAAATTTGATACCAGAGATTGTAAGGGGGAAAGGGGAGGAGAAATGGGGGTGATTAAGAAGATTTGTCACACTCTGCGTTCACTCTTTAGCACCGGCGAGCTCGTGTGATGATATTTGGAGAGGGAGAAAACGTCTGTGGACAAAGTAGTAATTTATCAATTGATCTAAATACGAATACAATCAGGCTCTCACTGAAATTGTTTTGGTTTGTTTGGGACCAATAATCGTTATCGGTAGGGAAGGGAGAGGGGGCTTGGTTTTACAAGCATTAGTTTCTTGGGCTCGCACGCCATATATAGCCTACGGCTGAAATTTGGTGAAAACAAAAGGACCAACACGTCTTTGGACAAACTATGAGCCTGCCATGCCAAGCCTCGTTATTGACCGAACATTGTTGGCAGAGGTGGAATCCGATCTCTCAAACCTCCAGAATCTAAAATACTCAATGAGTTTTGATTCTAAGAAAAGAAAGCATGGTTTGGAAATTGCAACTATTGTTCATGTTTCTGTCGAAGCCTGGGCAGTTAAAATTTTCAAGCAAACCAAATGGAGCCCTATAATTGTCTTAATCTTTAACAGTCAAAAAGTTGACAATCTATGGTATGTCGTTGTTAGTGAACGTTCTGACTTTAGAGAAACGGCAAAAAGACCGGGTTTGACTGAGAATGTCAAGGTACAATTGAATAGGTAAGTTATTTTTACCGTTTTATTGTTTACTTCATTTGACAGTATGATTGACCTGTTTTTACGCCAATATTTTGTTGCCTTTATCGTTGAAAACAGACAGACAAAGAAAGATGGTAGAGCAGAACGCTATGTTATTGAAACGGACCATCAGCTTGAATTAGAATTCCCATCCATTTTAAACAGCACTGATAAGCTTCAACGTGAATTATTTATTTATTTTGCTTCGAATGTGAATTGATTATTTTTTTACAACAGTCACCTCGAGAAAGAAAGTCGGCGATACCTAAATAGGAAAAACGCAAATAGGATATAGGAGTGAATATGTAGAGAGCTATTCAAAGAGGTTTTTAAACAGTCTTCATCAGAGAAGTTGCAAAACACTATCTCAAGACCCATGTTGGTTTTTTCCTTCCAATTATAGCTATTGTTTATCCTATAAGAATTGTTTTTTTCCAAAATCTGTCCCACAATTGTTATCACGGAGAACTCCTCTAACAAGACTTTGACACCAACGCGACCCACAGACGTAACCAACGTCTTTCAACTCAGTGGTTAACTTAGTGTTGCAAAGGGTGAGAACGGAAGATGGATCTTGTCTATCTTTGTTCTTAACATAAGCATATAGATGCATATCGAATAGAAGTCGTGAATCTTCTTGAAATTGTAATTCGTAGCCCAGTAAGTATTCTTGGGTCTTGTCATTTTGACATTACAACCACAATTCAGCTCTCGACAGTTACGTTGCACGCAGATCCGTGCGATGACGTGCGTGAAAGCGGGATGCTTAATGCAGTGTCTGGTCGAGGTAATATAAAGGACCGTAAAGAGCCCATGGTATCTCACGTGATTTTTCGTAGCAAGTATTTTAACTGGAGGATATACTTCTTGAGGAAACGGTCTTGGTCACATATCATCGCTACTGCTGAAACTACCCAGGACTTATTCAGACTATAAATACTTTCCTGTTATTGTTTAGAATTGGTCAAGAGATGCGAGAGTAAGCTGATACGGTGCAATAAACATGCAGATGTTAAAAAAAAAAAACAAAAAAAAAAAAAAGGAATGGGAAAGCTATACAGTGACTATGAAAAACATTGTGTGATACTTGTAAACAAAGGACGCATCGCCTATTTTGACCAACGTATGTCGATATTTACTTTACGTTTACTGCATGAAAAGTGATTCGAAATCCATGGTAGCACCACACTGCATATTCTCTGTTGGGAATCCAGAGTTCAAGATCTTAGAATTTTGATTCCGGTGGTGTTTGAAGACTGAATTCTTGCCATCGAGTCCATGATTTTAGTTTTGACCGTCTTTGTTTCTAATACTAAATGGTAGCGCACAAGGAAGATAGAATAAACGACAGTTAGACAAGGAATTTATATAGCATTCATAATTCCATCTAAAGGACCCTAAAGCCAAATAAAAAGTCTAGTACAAAAATACGTAAGAACTGATGAAACCAAGGGGTTTTTTTTAAAGAAAAAGTTAGATGTTTCAAAACCCGTTGTTCAATTAAGAATACATGCAGCAGTTCAAGAAATCTACGTTTATTTGTTACATTTCGATCTTTTTATTTCTTGTTGCTATAGATCATTAGTCCAGATCTCGCTCTTAAACATGACAGGCCGTGCGAAAAAAAAAAAAGGAACGGACATGTTTGGAGTGAAGCGAACGTCTGAAGCTGAGAAAGTAGAAACTAATAAAAGGCCAAGGGTAGGACGTTGACCTAGCTGACACTGAAAAGGAATAAACTAAGGTCCGTTTTATTATTCTGATACCACTGATAGGGAACTTGCTCACTCAGATGTTGATGCTGATTCAGCAGGGGCTTGCCCATGCAGTAAAGTAAAAGAAGTGCTGTCAGATGACAGTATTGATAGAAATGATCTCTTCACTGTATATGTCGGTGTTAAAGAGCTCCAAGACCTTCTTCGTCGAGGAAAATTGTCAAAGGAAAGGATCCTTTATAAATATATTAATGATGTTCTAGGAACAATGTACAACCCCTTCCACGAATACGATCAAGAGGTCGTGGAATTTTTCAATACCATTACCTAAACAGCAAGCGCACCAAGTGTTTTATCAGGGGGCCGATGAATCTAGGAGATGGCCGAAATAGCCACATGAATCTAACAGACAAGAAAATGAATCTCGGAGGACTTTCGGAATCTGTGTGTGCAAAGTACCAGGCCGGATATACACCAGAGTCAGGTGTTATCAAGCCATCACAGTTAGGCCATATGGAACTACTGGAAAACTCACGAGCTAAATCGTTCATCAAAACACCTAAGCTAAACGTGATTCTCTGTGTTTTCGCCAACGACGGAACGGCTTTGGAAACTGGCCCTTGAGTTCGATTCTCGGTTAAAGGAAAACATCGATCTAAAAACTCCAGTCGATATTCAACACGTTTAAATCCATCACCCTCCCCCAAGTATCTTAAGGATAATATAGTCACAGAAGCAATCGTTGCATCCCTGACACCTCTGGACAACTTTTGTTCCCTGCGTGTGGCCGTTGATTACACCACACATAGGGGTAAAACTGCCAGCCAAGCTATGGCAGACCTTTTCAGAGAACACATCGAAACTCTACAATCGTGCGAATCATATCATCTCCTACCCTGGAACGAGCTACACAAGCTTTTGTGAAGTATATTATAAGTCAACGAGAGTCTGCGATGATTGTAAATTATTGGGGAAGGTCAGTTATTTACCTTCCCTGTGCTTCTGCGATACATGTCGGGACTATTTTCGTCGAGTTCCGAGGACAGTTTGCAGTGACTGCGAAAGTGGCAACAAAAACGCCTTTGAGACGCACATTTTTGTTGGTTTTACCGGATTGTCCACATGTTGGTAAAAGTATGAAAGCAGCATTCTCCAACTGGTGGCTGAAATATAATGGGGAGCGTATCAACTTGGCTTTGATACGGACTTTGAGAAATCGCTCAAACTAAGAAACGAAACCACTTTAAGAAAGCTTATCACAAAAAAACGATCATGTTAAGAACAAAGATAAACAAGATCCATCTTCCGTTCTCACCCTTTGCAACACTAAGTTAACCACTGAGTTGAAAGACGTTGGTTACGTCTGTCATACAATCATCTCAGAACTAGACAGATATTCTCCTGACACCCATCTTGGTATGTTTCCGTAGCCGATTAGCATCGCCATTCCGTCTTCCGGATGGATAGCATTTCTGTCCTATGATGTGAAGAGTTCCTTGCATAGTGCTGTTGAGAAAATTTCAGCCATCAGATAAAATCCCCAAGAAAGGGATATCCGCTGTGCTGACAGGATGATCTTCCTAACTTCTGACGATGGGCCTATCAAAGCAATTCCGTTTGCAGACAGGGCAATCAACATCTTGTCCCAGGCAAGAAAAAAGGATGATTTCATCAACCTTGTCAATCGACTCTACCTGCCATCTGTGGGGACTGTTGGAGAAACAAATGAAAGGTTAAAGATCTACTTTTCATCCCTCAAATCCAGCTGTACTCTGGATAAAATAAAGGCTGATGAAATCCATTTCTGGAATTTTGAAAAACAGCCATCTTTTAAAAGTATACAGTGCGCCAACGATGAACTAGTATACACCTCGAGAAAGGACATCCAAGTGGTTGTCACTTTTTAAGTGGAAAAGGATGGCGTTGGGCTGAGAGTGGTAAACATGCAAGAAATCATTAAGTAGGGGCATTCATGGCAAGAGATCTACAGCATGTATCTGCATGTGGAATGCATTTTCTTGTCACATTGCGAGGGAATCAGCAAAATTTCTCTGGAAGAAGCGTAGTCTGTCACCGTAGTTCAACTAGCCATGCATGTTGACTAGTTTGGCTCACAAATCAACTTTAGTAATCAAAACCGGGCATTTCTATGTACGATCAAGACAAATGGAGAGGTCGAGGTTTTTGCCGGCTGCGAATGAGGGGAAGGTAGTGTGATGGGGAATTTAAGGATTGCCAGTTTCGACAACCGATGAGCATCTGCACGGAGTCTGAAAACGTCATTTATATCTGTGATGCCCGGACAAATTCCATCAAGATCTGCACTAAAATGGTCGAGTGCGCCAGATTTTTCAACTCTGTTGGTCAGCTTTTTGACGCCTTTTCCATCCATTGTAAAGGAACAGGTTACTTTGTTAAGTCTGCCGATGAAGCACTCTCCCTTGTCCGCCAGTGTAAAGAGCTTCTGGAGAGGAACACCAACGGGATCCGAATGAGTACTGGCGTTACCAGCGCCCTTAATGGACCTCAATGACAGCGCACCAAGAGACGACCATGGCAAAGCATGGCATTCTCACTGAGTTTACATACCAGCGACACTGCATCGTTTTTTACAAACCCGTAAATGCCGTATTCAAAGACGCCAATGAACAGAAAGATGGAGAACCTGGAGATGACTAATTATTACCAAGTACTGTGCTCCTGGTTCCTTATGTTTGAAAAGTAGAAGTAATGGTACTGACGTTTTTTTAATGTTGTGGTGTCCGTGTTTTGATAATATTTCTATGCCGTGTTTTCACTATTTTGTTTGCGGTGTTGCGGTATTCAGAACCCCCATGTCCCCCTCTTTAAGGTCAATTATAAACGTTCTGAGAAAACGTTGAGATAAATGTTGTGCAGTAAATAAATGGAATCATGAAAGCTTTTTGTATTTGTAGGGATAATCTTTTATCCTGGTCGTAAACGGACCAGAATCAGGAATTCGGTTTAGTTTTTTTCCTCCGCAGGAAAATGAACGATAATTGCTACGTGGCAGTTTTTAATTGGCGTTAAGGAATGTGATGGACATAGCCTGGGAACGAGGTTGAGTTTTGGTATCCAGTGTATCCACGCTTGAAGTGCTGGGCCGCGCGTAAACGATAACCAAGCTTGTGACGGTTTACACTTATCTTTCGAGTAAACTTTGAAATATTCATTTCAAGCACAAGCCTAATACTGTGACTTGCTTCAGTTGTTAACGTACTGATCAAAAACAACAACCGTGGGAATAGTTAAAGTTTTTTGGCTGATTGATTTAATTCGCTTGATCAATTCAATTATCTTATGCAAAAATTGGCAATGATTACTTTAGCGGACGAAAAAACCGAGAAAAAACAAAAACATATTAAAGTCACCGCTACATATCTTTAATTTCAATCAGTCGAAACACTTGCAGTCCATAAAATGCCTTTTGTGGTGTATCGTTCCGAGGCAAAAAACTTCAAAGGCTTGTTATTAGATGTAAGCGGGAGAAAACCTTGTAAACAAAGATCATCGCGTTCAAATGCAAATATTTATTGAGCTACTGTGAGTTATAATAAAGTTCGGATATAACGCGCGCTGCCATTGGTTGAAAGAGCGTGCTCTATGAGAGTATAGAGCATAGAACTGAGCCAAAGCTGTCACGCCATGTGCCAAATTGTTCTATGTTAGACCTTTTCCGGGACTTCTTTTTAGCCTTTTTCCGATAATTGAAAGTGAAATTTCGGAACAGGCGAGCCGGCAAGTAGCAACAGAAGAACCAAACAAAGGTTTGTAAACATACCAGGCGCCCTAATTTACGTTATTAAACGTGAGCAGATACGAAAATCCTCAAAGGAAAAACAAAATAGACATTCCGAGTTTTAAAGATTTTCACGCTCAGTTAGATTGCAAGCTTACCTACGGTAATAAAAATTAAACACAGCTAACACTCGTATTCAAAAACAAAACAGAACAAAACAGAAATGATGAAAAATTTAACCAAACAGACATAACTGTTAAAATTCGTACTAATCATGACGGTGTCTGAGCAAATATGATCATGCTGAAGTCCATCGCGGCTCGTCTATCATGGACCTGAAAAAAAAATTCAGGCCCATACGGGATTTGAACCCATTACCTCTGCGATACTGGTGCAGCGCTCTACCAACTGAGCTAACAAGCCAACTGGGAGCTTCTGAATTTGTTGGGTCCAAATTGGAAGATTTATTTGGACCCAACACATTTACTTGTTTTGTAGAACGCCCCAGCTATGCGGTTATCCTTCTGCGGAGTTGGATGGATACCGGTCATTCTGGATTTCTCCGTGACTAAAGCTAAGTCACAAATTGACTTAGTCCTTTTCTGCTGACTTTGCCGCGGTACTTACGTTAGTCCCCGCATTAATATTTCATCCAGCGATTTTAGTTTTTCCAATTTGTAATGGCATCAACTTGTTCCTAAGTCTTTGGCCCTGTTCGCACCACACCGAAAAATTTGGTTTGGTATTCGCAGAAAAATTGAAAATTTTGTAACAACGAATTTTTTGTTTTCGCAATAGCGTTCGCACTTGAGACGTGCAAGTTATATGTGTAACCACAAATGTCGATCAATCGGAATAGTTAACGAGATTTGACAGTGCGTTTCCTTTTAAGTCGTTTCCGGTCAAAGACTGATCGCAAAGCAAAATACCCCCGCGATATGTTTTAATGGCCCTTCTTTGCTGTTTGCTTGCCATACAAAACCTGATTGTGGCTAGTCAACAATTAATTCTGGTTTTGTTGGGAAGGATTCGGTTTGTACGGATCATGGAGACGTTAACTCAGCTGCTCAGCAGAAGTCGACGCCGCCGTGGTTTTCACACGTATTGGACATTTCCCCCACCTATAGAATCCTGGTTTGAAATCCACATGCACCAGCATTACTTCCCTGAAGCCTTTTTCCGTAGACATTAGAAATGGGGAGAGAGTCAATCGACAACTTACTAACATTCTTAAGAGGCTACGTTCAGAGAGAAAACACTCGTACATAATACCATTTAGCCTGGTATCAATTACGAAATATGATGACCAGTTGAAGGGTATCTGTCATGGAACAATAGATTTTCTATTGTATCACTGAAGCTTGGTGGCACTTGCGAAAATTTTGGTGGGTCAAACAAATCGTTCGCATTGAAAACAGTTTCGCGTTGACAGATTTTTTTTTTGCAAAACAAACAAAATTTCGCGTAGCGTGAAGTGGCCCTCAATCTCCATAACTATCCACGTTAAGTAAACAATGAAAAGCACTCAACAACGATTTTGCTAAACACCGCCAGGCCTTCAATTCGTTCCCTCTGAACTGCAAATTAGGCCAGAATATGGGCTCCGTGTAGCCTCTTGTTTAATAATTATTAGGAATATCGCTTTAGTCCCTCTGATTGTTTCTTGGATTTGCCAACTTTCAATTTCCCGCATGGTGACCTTTTATGATTCAAAGAGACATCTAAATTATTTGGTCCAAGCTGGTGGATATGTCAGTGTAACAACTTAATCTTTTACAGAACGAGGACTCCAACATTTCCGTAAGGAAATGAAGTTGTACAAAGATTCCAACGCTTCAATTTCTTTTTCAGCAACGTAAACTATGCATAATTCTGAAAGATAACGATAATGTAATTCCTTTTCACACTGCCAATATTTATGAATGGCTGTTTCATTTCGTGCAAAAAAATTAAATTTAATACATCGCAACAGCTTTTTTTTTTGTTTGTTTGGTTATTTTAATTGTCAACGGCAAATAATTTACCATCTCTTACTGAAATTTAGTCTCGTCTTAAACAGTGCAAAACAAATGATTTACATTTACAACAAATTTGCATAGTGGGCAAAAACTTGAATAGAAATGAAGAACAGTGTGACTGTATTAACTTGCCTCTTTCCTATCACTGTCATCATAAAATGCATTCATACTTCATTCAAAACAAATAAAACATTAAATTTTGCATCACCAGATTGCATCTGATATAACAAATGACTTTAATTAACTGTGCAATGATGTTCTTACAACCCTCTCCACGCAGTTACATTTCGTACACAAACTATTTAATGAAAGAGTTTTAAGGTCTGAAAAACTAGGATAGATCGAGAAATTCGAAGTGAACTACGTCTGGTGTTTTGACTGTAATTTGGAAAGCTTTGTTTGCTAAGTGGATAAAGATAAAATAGACTTAGTTTAGAAAATGGTTTTGATCTTTTAAAGTCAGAAAGATTTCGTCCATAAAAGATTATGCAAATTCACACCTGAAATTGAAGCGAACCGTGATTTGAGCTTTTTGTTTACATAAGTTTGGGTAATATTTAAAAGTAAAAGTCGGTTTTCTTGAAGCGAAGACATTGTTCACTGAAGAGAAAGGTTTCTTCCCTTTCTCTTCCGATCAGGCAATGTTCGATCCCTGATCTCTCGTGGATCACAGACGCGGCGATTCCTCTCCGCATTCCAACCGTCCAAGGAAACGATCACGTAATCATCGTCCACTTCTTGCGCATGTGTCGATTAAAACCGGAATTCTTAATGAATTACACACTCACAATTACACACAATTGACATTGTACCACAAACCTCCACTGCATTTATTTATAGCGGGATCTTTATCCCATGTAAACAAACTGGGAGCCATTATGACGACTGAAAGAGTCACGATTGGCTGTCTTCTCTATACAAAAGAAATTTTGGGAAATGAACACTGATATCAATATTTAGTCAGCAGTTAGACTCTTAATTATTAGGAAGCAGGGAGATGAACTAGGAAATCGAATGTTATGATCACGGCTACATCAATGTTGAAAAACAAACAAAGCAAAACAAAAAAATTAGTCTCGCTGCGGTATTGAAAAACTACCAGTGACTCCTCCTCAGTTTGAGGGGCATTTACGTGACTCAGAAGAGACTTGCAGTAAACACAGTCGTTTGGCCAAGGTGATGAGTAAATAACAGGATTGGTAAAGAAAAATGGGTCAATTTGTTGCTTGAGATTTACAGCGTTAGCTACATATAATTGTGATGGTATTGAGGCTGGTGATGATGATAATTTCCTAACTTACTTAGAAGATTTCCAATGTTCAGCTGGTTTTTCTCTTCCAATTTTTAGCCACGCATACTCAGCGTTAACAGTTGTGTCATTAGTTACTCCCATATCTACGCGAAGGTTGTTTTCTGACTTATTTCCTGTCAAGCGTCGGATGTTTCCCAATCCAAGGCAATATTTACCATTAAGAAAATGACCGAAGCCATGTTTGTAGTCATCCCAGGTGCGGTTGAAATCAACGAAGCCATTCAGTCTCTACTGGATCACTGTCCATCCTCCACCAGCTGTTGTCTGGTCGCAATATACATCAAAGGGAGCTTTGTCATCTGGATAGATTGTATAAACACATTTTATAAACACCGCTGATTCTTTGACCGCCATTGAAAACCTCGGCACAGTTCCTGGCTGTTCAAAAAATAATGATAATTAAAGTTTGGTTGGTTTGATTAAGAGCAACAGGAAAAGAGCATGAAACAAAGAAAGACAAAATCGTAGAGGTCAAGTAAAAGAAAATAGCAGCGAGTAAATGATCAGCACTTTTTAAATTAGAACTTTGTGAAGCAGACACTATACGATGAAATTTTTTCGCCAACCTTAAAGCTGTATATTTTATGATGAAGCACAGTTGTAGACTGGATCAATTTCAACTGCTCAACCTTTTATTCATTCTACGGGTGTATAACTGTGGGCGTGATAAGAATATGCTCTTATTTCCCGGAAATACTTTTAAAAAAGGACTTTTGAAACATTGCTTCTGTATATCATTTCTTCAATTAACAGAGGAAGTTGAACGCGATGGACGTGCGCACACAGGACAACCACAAAAAATATTTTACAATAAAACATTTTCCATCTTTTGCGAGTCAGAACAATAAACTCACGATTTATCGAAAAGTGCGACCTTTCTATGCTATTTACTTTTTGCCTTAAAGTTTAGGGGTGATTAAGTATTATCGAATGAGTTGATAACGCTTTGACGAAGGGCTAACGCTCGAAACGTCAACTTTGAAACTCTTAACGGTGGCCAGTTTACGTTATTAACTCAGTTGATGATACTTTATTACCCAGTTATACTCTCCAACCGACGCATGCACTATAGTTTCTTTAGAAACGTACCCCCTTTAATTATTTTGAGTGAATTGATTAAATGCTCTGTTTGCTATTGCATGGCAAACCGAAGTTACCATGTGCAATTAAAGCGGAGTGAAGTAGACGTAATACTTAAGACTTAAGAAAGGAGTGTTATGTTCCCTGGGGATTCCCGCTAGGTCAATGATGGAGGTTGTACGATTTCAATGGGCAACGGAAACCTCAACCTCTCCTTAAAGGTCAAATGATGGAAAAGGTTTATATTAACCGGATTTAAAAAGACAAAGGTTTAGGGCAACCCTAAATCCTTTTAACATTTTTGCAGAACAATGTAAACTCACTGTAAATAACGAGCAAACCGCTAATTGTAATGGTAACGGAATTCCGATCTTGCTCTTAGGTTAATTAATGGTGTGTGTCGCCAGTCATGAAAGTGTAATGTCAAGTGAATATATATCCTTGAGTGTTAACATTAAGATAATTTGCATGGAATGATCAGAAATCAATTTCTAATCGATGTCAGTCTTAACAAGCTGCCTAATGATAGCTCCGAGTTTTTGATTTCAACGGTTTGAATTTCATAGGAAGACTTTCTTATGAACGTTTTGAATTAAGTAGTGTAACTACTAGTTTCATGCACCTTACTTTTCTAAATTCTTGCATCGCCTATTTTAAAAACTACGTCAACCTTTCAGTTTACCTGTGTTTATTCCTGAATGAGAGACTCAACTGTGTGATTTTGTTGAAGCTGCTTTCAGTAAGGCGGAAACATTCCATGAAAACGTTCTGGCTACGAGTACTTCCAACTTCTTACATGGATATATACATATAAAAAAATTCAAGAGGTGTGGCTACATGGTTTGTTAGAGTCACGCTGACTCTTACGTTGATGTCCCCCGAAGATGATGACTGCACATCTTTTGAAGATGGCAATTCACCTGAGAGCTTACAGTAAAATGACTCACGCTTTCATTTTGCAATTATGAGTGAGATTCGCAATAAATTAAGATCCTCACATTGAATCGCCTGTGGTCTTTCCAAAAACAAAAAAAAAAAATGGCCAAAATACAACAGTTCTATAAACTGTTATCTGTTTTATGCAATCATAGCCTGATTTTGATAGAATATTTGATTCCTTAATGAACTCATACCGTTTATGTGATTAAATCAATCTTTAAGTTCACCTGTATTTATCATATCCAGAAAATAGACTGTGTAAGTTAGTTTCCGCCGCATCCACTGACGTGGTTTCCATGAACATTTTCTGACCTGAGGCACTTAACTGTTCAAATTCTTAATTTGTTTTATCGCAGGCGTTCCAGGCTCGCGATTCGAGAAAAAGCAAACGATAAATTTATGAAAGCGTCATACGTTGTGGAACTCGGTGTTAAGTTACTAGAGGAATCATTTAGGATTTTAGTACGTTATAAGGAACAGCACGAGGAACTTCCGTTCGTCCCATGTAAGGTAATCCGGATTCCGGAATCCAGGAAATTTTTGCTCGTGGAAATCGGAATACTGGGCGTTGGAATCTAGAATCCAGCTTTTGGAATCCAGGATCCCGCGTTTCCTTTTTTTCCTTTTTTCGGTTTTATAAAAGAAAATATTTTTTGTAAGAACGGTTGCCAGGTTGCTGCGGGGGCTGCTTGATTTCCGTAAACTCGTAAGAATGCGCCAGAAACAACGACGGGACACGTAGAGATTTCAATTTACCTAGGGAATTTTAGCGTTATTTCTTAGACTTATGCGATCACCTATGAATAAAATTGATAGAAATTTTTCCTCGTGACCTTTTTGATGAGACCGTCAACATATATCAATTCTTTAAACTGTATTACTGTTTTAAACAGTCTCCGTCTGATTTTGACGGAACAATTAATTCCATTCAAGGAGTGACGAGGTTTCGCTTTAGAATTTGGCTTGCTAATCAGTTTTTCTTAGAGGAGCTTATTTCACTTAACTAGGATTTTTCTTTGGTTTTGATGTTTGAACAAGCAAAGGAGACATCTTCAAATAAGAACAAATTAGCAGTCTTCACACTTCCTACCACTTAAATATTTTGTCGATATTCTTATGTTAATTGATTATGAGTTACATTTGTGGTATGTTTCAAACATCCTTCACAATTAGGAGGGGAGATTCCCGGGGAATACAATTGTCTTCGAGCATTTTCTCATTACGTTCAGAGTTTTCAATAGCTGGGTATAAATACAAGGTTGAGCAGTTGTAAATTGTTCAGTCTACAATTGTGTGCATGAAATCTCATGCTTTAAGGTCAGAGAAGAAAAATATTTGCATCATGCCCACTTTGCTGCTAAGTGTGACACTTTTGTTCGCGATTCAGTTGTTATCTTCAGTTGTTGGATTTGAGAAATGTAAGTGGGAATTCGCTCTCTTTTATATTGTGATAGCCAATGTATTGTTTCTTTAACTTGGTTCTATATCATTTGTTTTTTTTCCCTATTTTAAACTCTTTACTTGATACTCTAATAGAAGACCAAACTATTTTCTTGACATCTTTAAAAGCTAAGAACTGTGCTGAGCTTTACTACTCTGATCAAAGAATCAGCGGTGTTTATACAATCTACCCTGATGACAAAGCTCCCTTTGATGTATATTGCGACCAGTCGACAGCTGGTGGAGGATGGACAGTGATCCAAAAGAGACTGAATGGCTCCGTTGATTTTAACCGCACCTGGGATGACTACAAACATGGCTTCGGTAATTTCCTCGTTGGTGAATATTGGCTTGGATTGGAGAAGATCCGCCGCTTGACTGAGAATAAGACAGAAAACAGGCTTCGAATAGTTCTTGGGGTAAAAGATACGAAGCTACTGGTTCCTAGAAACACTTTGTACGCTGAATATGCGTGGCTTAAAATTGGAGACGAGGAAGCGAAATACCAGCTGAACCTTGGAAATCCTACAAGTAAGCCCAAGGCACTGAATCAACGTTAACAGCAGCTTCACTTTTATCATGATTATACGTAACTAGCTTTATAGGTCTCTATCCAAATTTCGACCCATTCAGTCTCTTCCAATCCTGTTATTTACTTGCAATTCACGTTTGCCAAACGACTCTGTTCACAGCGTGTCTAGTCTAAGTCATGTAAAGGCCTCTCACACTGATAAAGCGGCTCGCCTCTTTGTGACTCAATGGAAGTGTTTCAAGACCACACTAGGTCAAGTTCCGTATTTGTTTCGTTTTGCTTTTTTTTTTTTTTCAACCTTAAGGTGGTCGTGATGATAACATATTTTTCCAATCTTTCCGCTCCTCTACAGAGTAGTATCTTACGGGCTTATATTGATATAAATGCATATTTTCTTCATTTCCCTATCTTTTAAGACATGACTGTTAGTCAAGATTCTCTCAGTTATCATAATGGCTTCAAGTTTGGTACCTTTGATAAACATCACGCTGGTCCTCAATGTGCGTCAAAAAGTGGAGGAGGCTGGTGGTACGATGTGACATGCGCTGGGAGGTCAAATCTCAACGCTGTTTATAATGATGATGGATCGGCAAAGATCTCTTGGGCAGGGCTAGTTCCCGACAGTGCTATTGACAGTGCTCCCAAGACAACTGAAATGAAGATCAGACCTATGAACTTTTCTTCAAATTCACTTACTCATTAGTTTGTTTAAAAAATGTGATGGAAGGGCCGGTGAGTATGGTACAATACGTGGAGTAAATTAAAGCATTCATAGAACCATTTGGTGATATAGAACCAAGCATTAAAATGCTTGTTTCAAATGCTTGATTGTTTGAAATGAAGTAGAAATACACTTTATAAAAACAATGATATGTTAGAGGCAAATAAGTTTATACAGTCGTGATGTGTTTTGATTGTATACAAATATTAAAGCTTTTACTTTTATGCAAATGTGCTGTAAATTTTGTATCCTTCGTCAGTTCGTTGCCACTATTTAAGTAGAGATGAATTTCAGTAGAAGATGGTGAACTATTTGCTGTTTTAAGTTAGAATAACGCGCATGTTCATCTTTTAGAAATAAATATTAAATTGCGCAAACCAAGAGCGAAACTATCAAAAACTTTGTTTACTTCAATTTCTTAGTGGAATACTGGTATCTGTTTAACATTTATTAGAGAAACTGATATATCCAAAGATTGGATAACAAATTTTAACGTTGTTGTGATTACTGGTAAAATTTTGCCCCGTTGTGACAAAGATGTGCTCAGGTAAGCTTGAAACTATGAAAGACTACGCTTGATCGCTTGACCTTGAAATCAATTGACAATTTGCGAAATTGCTCCAGTTCGACAGAATCGACGAGGTGTGGCAAAATCGGCTCTAAATATAGCCCCTGGAAAAAAACCCAAAATATTCTCAGCCAATCTATCCCTGTTTTGTGGCCTTTAGGATACTTATTTTTTTATTGAGCGTGTTTTTCTAATTCTTTCACAAGGCCAAGGCTACAGCAAGAGTTCTCATCAAGTCAAATCATTATGCATCCATACTTTAAGGGTCCAAACAAAGTTTGATTATTCTTTTGGTCGATAATCACTTTGTCAGATAAATCCCCGCAACAGCATGCTATCAGATGTTAGACAGATGTCAGGTTTGAGGAACAATTTTTGTTCTGAACTTCGTTGAAATGAAAAAGTTTCTGTAAAAAGTTTCACAATGTTGATTTCGATATCTTGCTGAGACAGAAAGATAGGTTCAGGTCACGGCAGGGGCTAAATGACAATACCTAGCGCAAGGGTCTGTTAGTTTCTCTTTAGTATCAGAGAAGACTAAGTCCCCGACATGATTAAACTTTTGAATTTATATTCAAGTATGATGGAGTTCGTGCGAACTTACTTAGTGCGTAACGGATTTGACACTTTTCCGTCACAAGTTAATGATATTAGGCCGAGTTAGTTGAGATCTACGTGACAACGGATGGAGCGACCATACTTTTTTCATTTCTTTTAAAAATAGCTTCCCGGTGGCATTAATTATAATTAGGTTAAGTCGACTTCATTCAAGAGGATTTTTGGGGGTTTGCAGTGTTGTGATGTTGACATCCGTTTTTTTGATGCGGTATTGCGGTGAAGAAAAACTCGTATTGCGGTGTGGCGGTGATCTCAAACCTTATGGTGTATGATGTTTGTAATTTCAAACCGACGGTTTTCGGTTAAATAAATTATTTCCGGTGTTGCAGTGTATTCTTTATTCAGTTTATTCTAGATTTTGACGACATGTGCTGATTGACCACAAGCCGTATTCGTTTATATTTTACTTGACCTCTGGACCTATACCACACATACTGTCGGCCAGCCAAAGACCAGCGCGTGGTAAAAATGAGTGAGACTCGTCAGGATAACTGCATAATCAAATGCCTTGTTTTTTTACTTCGAGGAGGGAAAAGGTGGTGAGAACTACTGTGAGAAGTGTTAATTTAGATGCCGGGTTCAGAGAAACGAAAAGAGTCTTTCAAAAAGCTAAAAGAAGGCATTTGGTAGGTTTTTTTTAAATACGTTAGCATTCTTATACCCTAATCCCTAATAACTTGAATAAGTCGTCACTTTCTAGAGTCAGTCTACACAGAGTCAAAATATCGAGGAACATGCGACGGAAAAAAAAAAGCCATGGGAAATTTGATACCGGAGATCGTAAGGGGGAAGGGGAGGGGGGAGGGGGTGATAAAGAAGATTTGTCACACTCTTCTTTCACTCTTTAGCACCGGCGTGCTCTTGTGATGATATTTGGAGAGAGAGAGGAAACGTCCGTTAACAAAGTAGTAATTTACCAATTGATCTAAATACGAATACAATCGGGCTTCCACTCAAATTGTTCCGGTTTGATTGGGACTAATAATCACTATCGGTAGGGAGGGAGATGGGGCTTGGTTTTACAAACATTTGTTTCTCGGGCTCGTACGCCATAGCCTACGGCTGAAATTCGGTGAAGATAAAAGGACAACACGTCTGTGGACAAACTATGAGACTGTCTATGCCTCGTTATTGACCGAGAATTGTTGGCAGAGGTGGAATCCGATCTCTCAAACCTCCAAAGACTCTAAAACGCTCGATGAGTTTTGATCCTAAGAAAAGAAAGCATGGTTGGGAAATTGCAACTATTGTTCATGTTTCTGTCGAAGCTTGGGCAGTTAAAATTTTCAAGCAAACCAAATGGAGCCCGAACAGCCTATAACTGTCTTAATCTTTAACAGTCAAAAAGTTGACAATCCCTGTTATGTCGTTTTTAGTGAATGTTCCGACATTAGAGAAACAGCAAAAAGACCAGGTTTGGCTGAGAATGTCAAGGTACAATTGAATAGGTAAGTTTTTTTGACCGTTTTACTGTTTACCTCATTTGAAAGTATGATTGACCTGTTTTTACGCCAATATTTTGTTGTTTTTATTATTAAAAACAGACAGGCAAAGAAAGATGGTAGAGCAGAACGCTTTGTTATTGAAACGGACCATCAGCTTGAATTAGAATTCCCATCCATTCTAAACGGCAATGATAAAATTCAACGTGAGTTATTTATTTATTTTGCTTTGAATGTTAATTGAATACTTTTTACAACAGTCACCTCGAGAAAGACAGACGGCGATACCTAAGAACTAAATAGGAAAAACGCAAATAGGATAGAGGAGTGAATATGTAGAGAGCTATTCAAAGAGGTTTTTAAACACTCTTCATCACAAAAGTTGCAAAACACTATCTCAAGACCCATGTTGGTTTTTTTCCTTCCACTTATAGCTATTGTCTATCCTATAAGAACTGTTTTTTCCAAAACTAGTCCCACAACTGTTATCACAGAAAACTCCTCTAACAAGACTTTGACACCAACGCGACCCACACCAACAGAAGTATCACAGTCGGAACCAGAGGATCCCTCAGAGGAAGAGAAGAAGAACTTGAATGAAGGTGATTGTATAGATATTTAAGTCTATAGATGCATATCGAATAGAAAAGTTATCGTCGTGAATCTTCTTGAAATTGTAATTCGTAGCCCATGACGTATTCTTGGGTCTTGCCATTTTGACATTACAACCAAAATTCAGCTCTCGACAGTTACGTTGCACACAGATCCATGCAATGACGTGCGTGAAAGTAGTGATGCAATGTCTGGTCGAGGTAAAGGACCGTAAAAAAGAGCGAGGAAAGTTGTACAGTGGCCAAGAAAAATATTGTGTGGTACTTGTAAACAAAATATCCAGATGAGATACGACAGCGATCTGAAAGGACGCATCGCCTATTTTGACGTAAGTCGATATTTACTTTACGTTTACTGAAAAGTGATTCGAAATCCATGGTAGCACCACACAGCATATTTTTAGTTGGGAATCCAGAGTTCAAGATTTTGGAATTTTGATTCCGGGGGCGTTTCAAGACTGGATTCTTGCCATCGAATCTATGGTCATTGTTTTGACTGTCTCTGTTTGTAGTACTAATTAAATGGTAGCGTGTAGCTACCATTTAATGATGTTCGATTCTCGGTTAAAGGAAAACATCCGTCTAAAAACTCCAGTCGAGTCCAGTCCAACTCGTTCGATTACTTAAGTACCATGGATTACAACAAAGTGAATACAATTGGTTTCAATCTTACTTAAGTAACAGGAAACAGCAGGTGCATGCAAATGGTGTTGCTTCTGATACACGTTTTATCTCCACTGGTGTGCCTCAAGGATCGATACTAGGACCTTTGCTGTTTACTATTTTCATTAATGACCTTCCAAAGTCTTCCACCTTTTTTTCGACTAGATTATATGCTGACGATACATCTTTAACAGCGTCTGGAAGTGGTCTTGACAGTTTATTGTGTGAAATTAACAATCATTTACCAGCTGTCTACGAATGGCTATGCAGTAATAAATTGACCTTAAACTTGACAAAAACTAAGTTTCTTATTTTTATGCCTCGTCAAAAGGAAAGCTACAATCTTTATCCACCACTAACTGTAGCAAATGTTCATTTAGAAAATTCCTTTTGCGTAAAATATCTCGGTGTGTATATTGATTGTCACCTTACTTGGCATGACCATATTGACTACATATGTGGCAAAATTAGCAAAAATATAAATGTAATGGTTAAGTTGAAGCATTATGTATCAAAAGCAACACTTGTTAGTGTGTATTATTCTCTTATTTATCCTTACCTTACTTATACTTGTACACTTTCGGGAAATAATTATAGCGCTTCATTGTCTCAAATCGTAAAGTTACAAAACAAAGTGGTTCGTGATATAAATGATGTTCCTTTAATGGAATCAATAACTCCACACTACACATCCTTAGGCCTTCTGAAATTTCCTGATATTGTTAAACTGAACACATGTATGATTTTTTATGATTATTTCCACCATGAAAAGTTTCTTAATATACCTGTTTCATTAGTATCTGAACTACATAATTACAGTATCCGCAGTGCATCATCCAATCAAGTTGCAATACCTTTATTTCGAACTAATCTTAGGAGATTTTGCCCCAGCATTATTGGAAGTTTCTTTTGGAACGATATTCCGGAATCCATTAGAGACAAACCATCTAAAAAAATGTTTAGAAAAGCACTTTTGCGCTGGTACCTTGCTCAATACTAATGAAACATTATCTCTTTTATAATTTTCTGAGCTATTTTGTCATTTTTCCTTTACTTTTTTATTAAAATCTCAAGTCCTTTGTTATACATAATTTTAAGGGGCACAATATTAGTTTTCTAGATGTGCTCCTCTCCTCTCCTTCAACATACAATGTAATTCAATTCAAATGTAATTCAAAAACACCTTTGAGACGCACATTTTTGTCGGTTTTACCAGATTCTCCACATGTTGGTAAAAGTATGAAAGCAGCATTCTCCAACTGGCGGCTGAAATATAATGGCGAACGTATCAACTTGGCTTTGATACGGACTTTGAGAAATCGCTCGAACAAAGAAACGAAAGCCACTTTAAGAAAGCTTACCCAAAAAACGATCATGTTAAGAACAAAGATAGACAAGATCCATCTTTCGTTCTCACCCTTTGCAACACTAAGTTAACCGCTGAGTTGAAAGACGCTGGTAAAGTTAGTCATAAAATCATCCCAGAACTAGGCAGATATTCTCCTGACACCCAGCTTGGTATGTTTCCGTCGCCAATAAGCATCGCTATTACGTCTTGCGGATGGATAGAATTTCTATCCTATGATGTGAAGAGTTTCTTGTCTACACTCTACAAAGCTCGCTTGCATAGTCCTGTTGACAAAATTTCAGCAATCAGACAAAATCCCCAAGCAAGGGATATCCACTGTGCCGATGGGATGATCTTCAAAACTTCTGACGGTGATGAAAATTCTGTAACAACGAATTTTTTGTTTTCGTAATAGCGTTCGCACTTCAGACGTGCGAATTATTTGTGTAACCACAAATGTCAATCAATCGAGATAGTTACCGAGATTTCGTAACAGTGCGTTTCCTTCGTTTCCGGTCAAAGACTGATCGCAAAGCAAAATACCCTTGCGATATGTTTAATGGCCCTCCTTTACTGTTTGCTTGCCATACAAAACCTGATTGTGGCTAGTCAACAATTAATTCTGGTTTTGTTGGGAAGGATTCGGCTTGTACGGGTCATGGAGACCTTAACTCAGCTGCTCAACAGACGTCGACGCCGCTGTCGTTTTCACCCGTATTGGACATTTTTCCGACCTATAGAATCCTGGTTCGAAATCCACATGCACCAGCGTAACTTCCCTGAAGCCTTTTTCCGCAGACATTTGAAAATGGGAAGAGAGTCAATCGACAACTTACTAACACTCTTAAGAGGCTACGTTCAATGAGAAAACACTCGTACATAATACCATTTAGCCTGGTATCAATTACGAAATATGATGACAAGTTGAAGGGTATCTGTCATGGAAAAATAGATTTTCTCGCCCGACAAAAAATTGTAGGCCTCCAAAGCTCCAAAGCTAGTTAACGGTATTGCGAAAATTTTGGTGGGTCAAACAAATCGTTCGCAATCAGTCTCGCGTTGACAGATTTTTTTTTGCAAAACAAACAAATTTCGCGTAGTGCGAACTGGCCCTCAATCTCCATAACTATCCACGTTAAGTAAACAATGAAAAGCAGTCAACAACGATTTTGCTAAACACAGCCAGACCTTCAATTCGTTCCCTCTGAACTGCAAATTCGGCCAGAATATGGGCTCCGTGTAGCCTCTTGTTTGATAACAATTAGGAATATCTCTTTAGTCCCTGTGACCGTTTCTTGGATTTGCCAACTTTCACGAATTCAGCCAGCCCCGCTCGTGTTTAGACGAGGCTATGTAAACACGGAATAAGTCATCCATTGTCTAAGTCAATTTAAGTGTTATTCATTTTGATTAGCCGCGAGCTTTATAGAAAGTACGAAAAAAACGCGAACCTTAGGTGGATAGACGGATGCGTTCAATGTGCGGACCAGGTGAAAAATGAAAGCAGAGCTCATTGAAGCTCATTGAAACGACTGTTATGATCCTGAAAATGATTGTTTCGTAGGGCGCACGAACACTGTTTAGAGGAACGAGGATAACGGAAAGTGATGATATGTCCCGTATGTCTCAGAGGTAGTTCTTAGTGCTAAGCGCTACAGTTTTAGCCGATTTTTTAACATCGTATGGATTCTTTCTAATTTGGATCAATTACGCAAACAAGTTTATTGATTTTCAAGGTGAATAGGGAATAAATCAATGACAAAGTGATCTTATACATGGCTTCTTTTCTAAATAATTATTCACCTTTGAAATTCATTGAAGTGAAATAAAACACCACCTTATCCAATCAAAAAATGAACTTCAGACATCAGTCAATCTCTCGATCCTGCACGTTTCTCAATTTCCCACATAGTGACCTTTTATAATTTAAAGAGACGATGTTATACACTAGTACTGTGGTCAGCCACCCAATGAGTACATACGCGTTTTAGGCACAGTCATGCACATCTAAGATCTTTGGTCCAAGCTGGTGGATATGTTAGTGTAACAACCTAATCTTTTCATGACTGAAGGAGAACTCAAACACTTCCGTAAGGAAATGAAGTTGTACGAAGATTCCAACACTTCAATTTCTTTTTCAGCAACATAAACTATGCTTACTTCTGAAAGATAACGATAATGTAATTCCTTTCGCATTACCAATATTTATGAATGGCTGTCTCACTTCGTGCAAAAGATTAAATTCATTACATCGCAACAGCCTTTTTTGTTTATTTAGTTATTTTCATTGTCAACAGCAAATAATTTACCATCTCTCACTGAAATTTAGTCTCGTTTTAAACAGTGCAAAACAAATGTTTACATTTACAACAAATTTGCATATAGGGCAAAAACTTGAATACAAATGAAGAACAGTGCGACTGTTTTAACTTAATTGCCTCTTTCCTATCACTGTCGTCGTAAAATGTATTCATACTTCATTCAAAACAAATAAAACATTAGATTTTGCACCACCAGATTGCATAATTAACCGTGCAGAGGTCTTCTCACAACCCTCTCCACGCAATTACATTTCGTACACAAACTACTTAGTGAAAGAGTTTAAGAACAGTCCACGGGTCTGATCTTCATTTCAGTTGCTGTTGGAGCTATGCTATAAGGGTCGCAGAGATCTAAATATGAACAATGGATCCTGCCCTCTTTACCACGCAGATAAACACCGTTGAGATTTGAATCCTGACCTGAAGCAGAATTGACATTGTACCACCAACCTCCACTGCATTTATTTGTAGCGGGATCTTTATCCCAGGTAACAAACTAGGAGCCATTATGACGACTGATAGAGTCACGATTGGCTCTCTTCTCTATACAAAATAAATTTTGGGAAATGAACATTGATATCAATATATAGTCAGCCGTTAGACTCTTAATTATTAAGAAGCAAGAAGATGAAGAAGGAAATCGAATGTTATGATCTCGGCTACATCAATGTTGAAAAACAAACAAAGCAAAACAAACAAGATTAGTCTCGCTGTGGTATTGACTAACTGCCAGTGATTCCTCCTCAGTTTGAGAGGCATTTACGTCACTCAGAAGAGACTTGCAGTAAATACAGTCGTTTGGCCAAGGTGATGAGTAAATAACAGGATTAGTAGAGGAAAAATGGGTCAATTTGTTGCTTAAGATTTACAACGTTAGCCATCTATAATTGTGATGGTATTGAGGCTGATGATAACGATAGTTTGTTAACTTCTTCTGTATCACTGTCCATCCTCCACCAGCTATTGCCTGGTCGCAATATACATCAAAGGGAGCTTTGTCATCAGGATAGATTGTATAAACACCGCTGATTTTTGACCGCCTTTGAAAACCTCAGCACAGTTCCTGGCTGTTCAAAAAATAATGATAATTAAAGTTTGGTTGGTTTGATTAAGAACAACAGGGAAAGAGCGTGAAGCAAAGAAAGACAAAATTGTAGAGGTTAAGTAAAAGAAAATAGAAGCGAGTTAATGATCAGAACTTTTTAAATTAGGACTTTGTGAAGCAGACACTATACGATAAAATTTTTTCGCCAACCTTGAAGCTGTATATTCTATGATGATGCACAGTTGTAGAATGGATCAATTTCAACTGCTCGACCTTTTATTCATTCTACGGGTCGAAGGCAACTCTATTTCCCGGAAATACTCTTAAAGAAGGATTTTTGAAACATTGCTTCTGTTTTCTTGAATTAACAGAGGAAGTTGAACGCGATGGACGTGCGCAAGCAGGACAGCCACAAAAAATATTTTACGATAAAATATTTTCCATCTTTTGCGAGTCAGAACAATAAACTCACGATTCATCGAAAAATGCGACCTTTCTATGCCATTTACTTTTTGCCTTTAAGTTTGGGAGTAATTAAGTATTATCAACTGAGTTGATAACGCTTTTAAGAAGGGCTAACGCTCGAAACGTCAACTTTGATGATGATACCTTATTACCCTGTTATATTCTCCAACCGACGCATGCACCACAGTTTCTTTAGAAACGAACCCACTTCAATTATTTTGAGTAGATTGACCGAATGCTCCGTTTGCTATTGCATGGTAAACCAAAGTTATCATGTACAATAAAATCGGAGTGAAGAAGACGTAATACTTAAAGAAGACTCAAGAAAGGAGTGTTATGTTCCCTTGGGATTCCTACTAGGTCAATGACGGAGATTACACAATTTCAATGGGCAACGGAGACCTCAAACTCCTTTAAAGGAGTGAAATTAAATATTAACCGGATAAAGTTTCTGTTTTTTGCTATTGTGGCGACTGGGTTTTACATGTAGCACTGCCGCTGACAAATTGTGATTTCTGCTCTCAGATTCTCACTGTTTACGAGCGTTCAGTTGAGGTTTTCTTCTTTTTTTGTTAGTTTTTTTTACTTAGATTGGGCGGAAATCTGCTGATGTATCGAAAATCGTCCATTTCTCGTCTTCTTTGGGGCGACCGATAGAAACTTCATGGAGAAATACAGCGTCACGCCATCGTGACAACGTACATGTTTATGACAAATGACCGGTGTGAGAATAGTTTCGTGTAGATCAGCCGACTTCAACATGTTTTAAATGACATACATGACATACAAGTATAACAGTGTATCTTCAGAGGACTTCGGATCACTCAAATTCCCATGAAAGAAGGTACAGCACTCGGAATCTGGATGATATGCACACGATTTGAGGTATGTGTTTGTAGTTACGTCGAGTAGTCCTCCATGAAGGTTGATCATTTTTTTTTTAAAAGATGACAACCAGAGGCGAGATTTCTCTTCGGGATATTACTCATAAGATAACATTCTTTCAAATTCATTTTTCTGAAACATTTTTTGTTGAGAACATTAGATATAAACATCGCCAAATTATGCAATATCTGATTTTTGAGCTTCGTTCGCCAATTGCCCCTATAAAAAGTAGAGGTAGGCTCGCAGAGATTTTTACATATTTAAAAACTAAAATATCATAACCAGCTAGGTGGGTAGTTTCAGTTCCTGAATTGGTGTACTTTTGGAGAAATTCAGATAAACGTTTTCCCTATTTTACCCGTCAACAAAAATGACCGAAACTGTAACGAGATAAATAATCTATTGGTGTGTTCAAATTCACTCCCAGGGAAAATTGAATAAATCCAGTGAAGACGAATGATGTCACTATGTATGGTAGAAGTGCCAATTGTAATGTTCTATTTAGCTTGAGATAGAGAAATAAACATTTCACTCTTTTTTTGCGACGTTTTTGTTTGAAAATGAGGCCCTAAGCCTCGAACAAGCAGCCGTTGTTACCATGGCAACAAGAGTGCTGCGTCCTTTAAAAAGGCCGTTTTTGTGCATCCCATCATCAATTATTCTCGCCCCAAAAGGATTAACTGAGAAATTATGATCGTAAAAATGCCCAGTTGGTGTTGGGGCCTCTTCACCGGGCTGGCCAGGTTTCCAAGTTCTCGGTATATATCTGTATATATCTGGGTGGACTGGCTCGGTTCCCGACATCTCGTTTCTCGTGAATCGGCCAGGAATTTTCTATTTAAACACTTCGGCCCGTTTACCAGTCCGAATTTTTCTTTAGGTTTATTTAGGAACTTTCAGCCCACTTACAAAACAAGAAAAGGTGCTCAGGTTTTGGAGACCAGTTTTTTCGTTACCTTTAAGGAACAAATAGCGCAATTGGAAAAGATTCATCCAGGCAGCCGAACCGACTGATGCCCTGATGGTGTGACAGACGTCCCGAGCTCACGTCTAGAGAAAACTGGTATTTCTGACGAAGGAGTCTGCGAATAAGGCAGAAAAAAATATTTTGTCGGCACGAGATACGACAAGGCCTAGGCCTTAGGCCCGAGCATCATAGGAATGATGCAGTGGTATATAAGGGGAAGTATAGCACGTGGTGTCCATCTAGGCCTCAGAACCAACCGTTCGCCTCTGGCTGATGACAAATTCAGTGGTCTTTTTTTCCTGCTGTCGCCACGTCGATCGAGAAAGAAGACGTGGAAGCACTAATCAAGGCTAATAATGACAACCTTCTCGTTTCTTTCAAAGGCCTCTTGGAGCAGACCGTTTCTCGGATCAAATGGTCGAACGAAGAATCGGCGGAAAGTCAGATGAAGGAGACCAAGCGCCTCAAATTCAACGAGTCTCTTAAGAAAAACAAAGTGACCAGAGGACCGCCACAACTCAGGTGTAGTTCTTTCCTTTGTTAATATTGAAGCTAGTAGTTTGCCTTCGCAATCGGAATTAGGCAGTGTTATTGACTCGGATCCTAGTGTTGCCGCTTGTGCTGATTCTTTCCTTTTAGACTCCTCCAGACTCAGGCTCTCTTGCAGTTGATTTGACCTACTCTTCTGTACGTGGAAGGCTTAGAAAATTTCTAGATTTTTGACGTACTTTGGAAGTTTCGCAATTTGTCATAAATGTTATTATGCAGGGTTACAAAATTCCCTTCCTCCAACTTCCAACACCTTTTGCTAAGAGAAACAATACTTCTGCTCGTGAGAATAGTGATTTTGTTTCGCCAGCTGTCAGCGATTTACTTCGTTTAGACCAAATTAAATAACTTGCTTGTAACCCCTATATCATTAACCCGCTTTCAGTTTCTACCCGTGGTTCGAGAAAGCAAAGGCTCGTTTTGAATCTTCGCTATGTCAACGGGTTTATTTACAAGCAGAAGTTTAAATGCGAAGATCTGGGTGTCGTTACGCAGTTGTTTGATCGTAATTATTACTTGTATAAATTTGATCTTCAGTCTGGTTACCACCACATTGAAATTTTCCCGGACCACAGAAAATTTCTGGCTTTTGCTTGGGATTTTAGGAACGGGGTTTCAAGATATTTTCAGTACTGAAAATTTTCAGAGCTCATAGAGCCTCTGTGCTCCCTTTCGGGTTTTCTTCAGCCCCGTATATTTTCACATCGATTTTGAAGCCATTGCAGAAATCGTGGAGGAGCCAGGGCATCCCTATAGCTATTTTCCTCGACGACGGTTCAGGAGGAGGAACAGATTTTGTTTCTGCTAAAGTTAACAGTTTAGTCGTCCATTCAGATTTGCTCAAGTCTGGATTTGTTCCTAATGAGGAAAGGTCCCTTCGGGAGCCTCTCCAAGTTATCACCTGGTTGGGTGTGATTTTCGACACTATTGACGGGACTATAAAAGCAACCGACGAACGTATTGAAAAGTTAAACGCTGGCTTTATTGAGCTGCATCCTTGTCAACCTACCCGGAAAGTGCATGTGAAAGGAGTCGCCATTGTAACGGGTCAAATAATTTTCCTCTCTCCCTGTGTGGGTTCCTTTGCCCGTATTATGACTAGATTTCTTTTCTTGGTCGTGAACTCGACGCGCTCTTGGGAAAGCGAAGTTTTCCTCTCAGATGGCTCTCTTTCAGAAACCAGTTTCTGAAAGAACAACGTGGTATCCTTCGATAGCAAGGTTTGTTGGTCGATCCAATCCCTTCCGGTCAAGGTCACCTTTTCAGATGCCCCCAATTCGGCTTGTGGTGCTTTCGTAAAAGACTCAATTTTAGTATTTTATCGAAACTGGTCTCCTGTAGAGCGTGCATAAAGTTCTACAGGGAGAGAACTCAAAGCTGTTTGCCTCGCCTTAGAAGCTTTCGCGAGTCATTTTTCTGGTGCTAAGGTTATTTGGTATCCTGATTACCAGAACGTCGAATCTATTCTTCAAAACGGTAGTGGGGAAGCTGACCTGCACCAATTGGCCCTCCTAGTTTTTCCAAATATCTCTTGAGTTTCAAATGTCACTAGAGGTTAAGTGGATCCCTTGGGAGCTTAACGCTAAGGCTGATGCAATAAGCAATTAACCGATTATGATGACTATACCATTAACGAATCTATCTTTCAAAGAATTAACCTATTTTGGGGGCCCCACACCGTTGACAGATTTGCTTGTTCCTATAACGCTAAGGTGCCAACATTTAACACTGAGATTTTTTCAGACTGGCTGTGTAGTAGTAGATGCCTTCTCCCAAGATTAGTGCACGCTAATGATTGGATTTGTCCTCCAGTGTGCCCATTAATTAGAGCGGTAAGGCACGTGGAATTGTGTAAGGCGAGAGGAACGGTTATCCTTCCCTTGTGGAGGTCCTCTTGCTTCTGGACTTTATTCTGTAGAGATGGTGTGCAATAGAACAGTTTCGTAACTGACTGGGTGTTTTACCCAAGTTCCCAGGTCTCTTTATCAGAAGGAAAGCCCGAAACTCGCTTTTCGGTTTCAGACCCCTGAACTTTGATGCTGTAGCCCTTCGAATTGATTTTCGCCGCCCCAGATCTCCCTGCGCTTACGTAAGCTTCTGTACGAAGATCAGTAAAGACTGTGATCGTTGTAATTAGCCCGGCAGGCTTTTGTATTCGCCGCGGACGTTTTCTCTTCTGGGTGCAAATATGATTTTGTTTCAATCAATCCCAGCGTAATTGCTCTAAGTCCTTCGTACTTAGCTTATGGGTTGTTTGGCACTTACTCAGGCTTGAAGTAACTTAAATCATAGAATTGCTCGTCAATATTGCGTTATGACACGAGTTTGTGTCAAGAATTTATTCAGCATTGTCTGAAATTAAAGGAACCCATTTGTGGTCCACTTTGCAAATTCCAGTTGTCTATGTATTCTCTGTTAGAGTTTGATTGTTCCCAGTTATTCTATTTTTATTTATCTATTTATTTAGTTATTTCTTGTTGGATTGTATTCCTCACTTTGCCTTATTTTATCTCTCGTTTAGATATTTTTCATTCGGGATTTTGGGTATTCCGGGACGGACCGCTTGACGACTTGCTTGAGGGACTGAAAGATCGACTGAAGACGACTGTACTCTCTTCCAAAGAAAATGAGACTGTTATGGTATACAACCGAGCTTTCCGCGGATGGAATCAGTTTGCAAACGATAAGTTAAACGGGAAAGCCTTTCCCGCTAGCCCTTTTCATGTGACTTTGTATTTACAACATTTTTGGAGGAAACCCACTCCCTTAGCGCGGTCGATTCTGCCTTCTATGGCTTTAAATGGGCCTGTGACTTGGCAGGAATCCCCTCCCCAACTGATGACCAATTGCGGAAGCCGTGAGGACGACGTCCAAAAGAGTTCTTGGTACCAGTGTCATAAGTCGTAAAGAACCTATTTCGGCCCTTTTATTCCACGACATTATTATCAAATCAGACTTAGACAACCCGGTAAAGTTGCGTAATGTTTCCATGTATGTTTTATCTTTTGCCGGTTTCTTTAGGTTTGACGATGTGTCTAGAGTTAGAAGAAGTGATATTTCCTTTAAAGGAGGCTTTATGATCATTAAGGTTTTGAAAAGCAAGAATGACCAGCTCCGTAAAGGCGACGAAGTCGTTATCTTACAATTGTCTAGTTCTGTATGCCCCGTTGAGTTGCTTAAGAGGTATTTAGTTATGTTTAAGATACCCCTAATTCCAAATATTTTATTTTAAGCCCATTTCTGAAGGGAAGGGCTCTTGCAAGCTTGTTGCCCCTGATAAGCCCATTAGTTACTCTACTGTTAGAGTGGCTTTTCGCTGGGACCTGCAAAGTCTCGGAGTTGAACCGTCCAAGTTGGGTTTGCATTCTCTAAGATCTGGAGGAGCCACTATGATAGCAAATAATGGAGTAAACGACAGAGTTTTCCAACGACATGGTTGTTGGAAATCGGTACAAGCCAAAGACACAAACGTAGACGATGATTTTGAACAACAACTCGAAGTATCGCGTTTTCTTGGACTCTGAAGACGTTTTCGTGTTCTTTTTGGTGGTATAATATCACCTAGCCTCGTGCGTCTTGCCCAATTCTTTGTCAGTCTATATATGTCTCGGGTCGGCAGGCTTCCCTAAATAAACTTATTTGATGTACACTACTGTGTTATTTGTTTTGTAGTGGAGACAAAATATATTAATTAATTCCTGGTATTACACAAAGTCTTCTAACAGGAATAAGAGAATTACGGTTAGATCGCACCATGGTTAGATCGCTCCAACCAAAAATTAGATCGCTCCATCGAATAAGTTACTTCGCTCCTAACATAAGTTACTTCGTTCCATGTAGAAAACCAAGGTAGGAGGTTGATAGAAGAAAAGAGTTTTGTTACACGAACAAAGACTCGCCATTTTTAACCAAAGTCGAACCCAGTCTCGCACGGGTATTAGTTTGACGACGCTTTAAAAATATCGGCTTTTGAAAGGCAATCTTTTTCTTTGTTGGTCATTTACTTCATTTTAGTTCGTGGCTCCTAGAGGCGCCTTTTGTTTCTGATGCTTCGGTTGTCTGCTGCACTCTCTGGCGGTTTTCCGATTTGTCTCGTATTGATCCCACAGATCAAAGTTCTTGGTACGCCGCTGGATAAAAGACGAGTTTAAAGAAGTATAATCTACTTTATTAATTAAAGATAGAGGATATGAGTTTCCTTGCATCAAAGAGCAAAAAAGGCCACACTGAACAGTATTTGTATTTGAATGATCTTTTTCAATACACTTCAGACTTTATCGCTATACTTTATTCGACGATTATTCATCTATTCCATCATCGCTATACATCTGTAGCTCGATAGCTAATCTGAAGGACAGAGTGAATACGATGTACTCGAATCGTCTCAAGACACATCATCACCAATAAAGATCAGTGGTAAGTAATACTTCAAATTACAACATGGAGTGAAGTAACTTACGTTGGGAGCGAAGTAACTCATCTGATAGACCGATCTAAATTTTGAGTGGAGTGATCTAACTTTTGCCTGGAGCAAACTAACCAGGAGCGATCTAACCACGGTGCGATTTAACTGGATAAGGAATAAGACTGATGGCAAAAGCGAGCATAAAACGGCAGAGAACGCCGAAAACCACGATTTTTTGTTAATCTCACGAGTAAAATGTTCATATTTCGAAATATCTAGTTACAAATCGACCATATTTCTTTTCCCAATTCTATTCCTAATAACACATGACAATTCTCATCGTTTCCTAGCGTAACTGAAAAACGCGTCACACAACGTGTGACTCTTTCATGAATTAATCTTTTGCTTTCTCTCAAGACGTGAGCTTAGGACGCCTGTGCTCAAAAGACTTACAAACAGAGTACAACAAATATGATAAGGACTACTTAGCTTTGTTTGAGTGGGAGGTTGTCGGCGTGGCTCTCTTTTACAAAGTGCCTGCCACTATTTGCCTGCATATAAAATGGCGCTACTTCGACAGCTGAAAAGTTCAACATGTTGACAGATATCAGAAGCTTAGATAGGTATGAATGTTTCCTGTGGTAAGACGATGGAAAACGCTTACAGAACGTCCTTAATTAAACAAGTGTAGTTAATTATTATTCATGTAGAATATATGCTTAGAATGCCTATATATGCTTAGTAGTAGCGACCACGTCAAAGTTTCAGAGCCCAAATGGCAATATCGCAAAAACCGATATTTACTAGGACATGTAAGAAAAGGAAAGAAGGCAGTTTTCTGTTTGTTTTGTTTGTTTTTTCGGTTTTTCAATTTATGACTCTGGAATCTGGAAGTGCTTTTGTCAAACGATGAAATACAGAAACCCCAACCAATGGAAAAAATGAATGTGAATATGAAATAATTTATTGGAAGAAACACAGCTGATCTTTGTGAATATGAAGTGATCTTCGCAGTTACAGCTGGTATTCGTTGTTTGAGGTCATCCAACGCACAAAGCGCTTTCCCACGCACCAATAGCTCGTCAGGGTGCTTACATACCTTCCTATTTTTTACTCTTATCCACTAGATACAAATTTGTAAATAAGATAACAGTAGCATTCTACAGTTTGCTGAGAGACGGGCCTTCCTAACAATCTTCGATCTTGTCCAACTTTTGGCGACTCATTTAGAAATTGTCGCTCTAGCCTTCATTTTCCTTATATGACATCTGCTGAGTTGCATTCTACTACCAATAAAAATGTCCCTTATAATTTATGATCATGTTTATTTTTAACTCACGGATGCACGCACAATTTCCTTGTGGAGCCCCATCATTAGTTTTACTGCCTTCTAATACGTGGTATGTGAACAAGTCTAACAGCTACCCAAAGGTAAGTTTATGAAGTTTATGAACAAAAGAGCCGTTAAATTATTACTTTTTTGCATCGAAAAAAATAGATTAAACAAAATTGTTTAGTATAATACGAGTTACGACTTTTATAGGGACAGAATTGAACCGATGTTTTGAGACTACTAGTGAGATCGTATTCCGTGCAATTCTAGTGGATGAGTACTAGTCGCAATGTTTTTCAAGGACATTACATCCAGAAGTCTTAAATGTTTGCTAATATTTATTCGTAATCGTTATCATAATTTACCATGATCAGCCTCAAATACGGCAAACCTCCAGTCCATGTATATGAACCTTTATTACGAGTCATTGTACGACAAAACACTTTAATTCAAATTTCAAGTCCTAAGTTAAACGACTCTAGTTTTGAGGTAAAATTTATCCAATCGCACACAGCAAGATCAATCTCATTTAAATATTCCTTCAATACGTAAAAAAAAATATTAATTCAACTTCCACCATGTTTTCATTACTACGGTGGCCAAACGTATGCATCCATGATGGGGAAAAAATTGGAGAGATCAACTTTTGGCCTCTACGAATAACAAACTAATACCAATGTGAAACTTACCACAGTCGTCATTTTAAAGACGAAACTCAAAAGGAGTGGAAAAAATGGCAATTAATCCTAGAACAGTTCGGACAGGCTATTTTATAACGTTCTTTTGATCTGAAGTTTTTGAAAATTAAGTGTAATCCTTAAAGTTTCAGTGACTGGGTATTCTCGTGCTTGACAGACTTTATTACGGCCTTTGTTTCCTCTCATCCTTAAAAAAATGACGTTTTTATCGTAAATCTCCAGTACAATGTGAGCTCATTCAGAAAGTATTCCCCTCCAATTTATATAAGAGCGCTAAATCATCACAAGCTGCCTTAAATGCTGCATTATCTAATGGAGCGATCTAAATTTGAATGGAGCGATCTAACTTTTGGTCGGAGCGAACTAACTAGAAGCGATCTAACCATGGTGGGATCTAACCGGATAACGAATAGTACTGATGGCAAAAGCGAGCGTAAAATGTCAGAGAACGCTGGAAACCATGATGGACACACGAGGAGTGAGTAAGTTTTCTTAATCTTACGAGTAAAATGTTCATATTTCAAAATATCTAACGTCGTAAATCGACCATACTTCTTTCCCCAATTCCATTCCTAATAACGTATCACAATTCTCATCGGCTTCTTGCGTAACTGAACACCGCACCATACAACGCGTGACGCTTTCATGAATCAATCTTCTACTTTCTGTCTAAACGTGAGCTTGTGATGCCTGTGCTCAAAAGAATTACAGACAGAGTACAAAAATTATGATATAGACCGCTTAGCTTTGTTTGAATGGGAGGTTGTCGACGTGGCTCTCTTTTCCAAAGTGCTTGCCACTATTGCCTGCTTATGAAATGAGCGCTACTTCGACAGCTTAAAAGTGCAACAAGTTGACAGATATTAGAAGCTTAGATAGGTATGAATGTTTTCCGTGGTAAGACGATGAAAAACGCTAACAGAACGTCCTTAATTAAACAAGTGAAGTTAATTATAATTTGTGTAGAATATATGCTTAGTAGTAGTGACCACGTCAAAGGTTCGGAGACCAAATGGCAATATCGAAAAACCCATATTTATTAGGAAATGTAAGAAAAGGAAAGGAGGCACTTGACACATTGGACCTGCAAATGATAAAACTTGAAGAAATTTTGTCATCGGGAGGGTATATCGTGTCCTTCTGCAGGCCATTTACCTTATTCAAGTTTATAGCGGTCTTTCTACCCTAAAAGCAGATTCACCCGAGCCAACCCGCCTGGCACAAAGTTCTTCACAAGCCGAACAATTTCGTATTCTTATGATACGTTCTGTTGAAATTTCTTTTTCACTTAGTGCGGAAGGTCATTATCAACATGGACAATTAACTTTTGTGCACGATGCATGTTACGATGTATCACCTCAAGATTAGTTGAATTGAACTCAAGTTTGCAGCTTGGATATTGTTTGTCACTGTTGACGATTTTACAAGGGTACAGCCGCGAATTGAAGGTCCCTGCAAATGATCTGTGAGGTTATGATAAAAAGCTGCTGAAGCGAATCGATAAAAATAACGTAAGGAAATGACTTTTTGGGGGGGAAGACGTTCTGATATTACCTTTAGGCCATAGTTTTGTGTGAAAAAAGCAAAATTGTTAACTTATATTATTCTTTTTTTCTTCTTCTTCTTATTTTTCTTCTTCTTCTTAACTATTGGAGCGTATGAATTTAGGTAATACTTATTTTTAGCTTAAAATAGTCCAGCCTGCAGCTCACTTGAAACATCAAACTACCAAATTGTCAGCGTTTCATGATAATGGATAACTTTTCGCTTCGAGAAGCGTCGACGTGTTTAGTACTGTTAACTCTTACCGGCGCTTTATGGAATCGTCCATTCGTGAGAGGTGAAAAATGCAGTCCCAATATACAAGGTAAGTAATTTTAATTACTTTTAAGCGTCGTGGTTAAAGACCATGTAAATATGAGCAGATTTTTCTTGTATGTATTTAAACATTTATGTATGTATGTATTTATTTATGTATGAACGTGACTGTGTATGTATGTAGAAATCTATCTATTTTATCTAACTATCTATTTACGTGTTTATGCATTAATTTCCCCTGAAGAGTAATCTAATCACGAAACTGGCTTGTCCAGATAAAGCATAGTCCCTTTGTTTTTTCCATAACAGCGTTTTTCAAATCGGCTGTTTATATGAATAGGGATAATCGTTTTAATTTTATCCCTCTCGCAGAGAAACCCGTGGTCGAAATATCTTCAAGTCCAGAAAACAACAGTTTCCCCATTGGTGCCTCCATAAACCTGACTTGCAAGGCAGAGCTAAGAGCGGAAGATGAATCACATTTGGATAGATGGGTCAACTACATCCGGTGGTACGATCCACAGGGTAATGAAATTGGAGCTAAGTGCCAGCAACCTGATCGAGAAAAGCGTGTCAAAAAATACAGCTGCCAATCACTGCTTAAAAAACTGACAGTTGACAAATTTGCCAACTACATTTGCAAATCAGGCAATGATTACCCAAATCACTGCACAAGGAAATCATTTAATGTAAGGATCCAAGGTAAGCAAATCAGGCCGCATCGCGCATAATGCCTGGATATCATTAATTATTCGTCAGCACTGAGGCGGGAGATTTTAATGCTCTCAGGCCTTGAAAAGCCCGTAATTAGAGAAGAAATGGCCGAAACTAGCGCAGCAGCGTTGATAAATTCGCTTTTTCAATTGCCAGGAGCAATAAGTGAGAGACCCAAGAGTGGATTTTTGAAGAGGAATGGTTAATCTTTAATTTAAGCCTAAAAAGAGGAAGTTTGAGAAAGTATAAGGACTATTCCTGGGCAATTGAAAATGACGAAAAAACGGACATTTTCAGTATGAAGGCAGATTTCAAAAGCGACTTTTCAAAAACTCAAACCAGCTTCCAAAAACCTAAGAGTGGGAATTGAAAGATGGATCTTTCCTGAAACAGAATCCGTTTTAACTTGGATAATTGCTGAACGACAACCACCATTACTCACAGTTTTAAAATTCTTAATCGAAGTTCCTTTCCAAAATGGGGTATTTCGAGTTCGACACCATTGTTTTCAGCCCACGCTTGAAAAACAATGGCTGTCAAATCTAAACAATGGCCTACACAAGAAAACCACCATTTGTAAAATAGACGATTTACCGCGAGTTTTAAAAATTATCTCAGTGCGTCAGCAGCTCTATGCAACTAGACCACGCGATGATGAATAATCAAATATATATATATATATATATATAACAACTTTATTTAAATAATAACATATAACATATTATTATTAAAAAAGGGTTATAGAAGGGAGGAACTTAATCCTCATTGTAAACTATACCCCAGATATAAAAATTTAATGCTATGCAATATACATATACATACTGAAACATTTTACATACAGGCATATATCTATATAAATATAAAATCTAAATAAAGAAGACATATCTAAGATAACTATTTTGTTTAAAATTATAACTAAATAATATATAATACATAAAATAATTTAATTTTTAGTTATAGGCCTAGTTAAAAAATGTTGATTTAAGAACTTTCTTAAAAGCATTAATTGAGTCAAGTTCAACTACTGATAACGGTAAACTGTTCCATGTGTCGATATGTCTGTGCCAAAAAGAGTACTTAAAGATGTCTGTACGGCAAAATGGTTTATATAGTTTAAACTGATGACTTTTTCTTGATTGCCTGTTACTGAAGGATATGTAATTATTAGTGTTTACTAGTGTCGCTAGTTTCAAGGATTTCAGTCGGTCTTCATACGGAGTGTCTTTATCAATGATCCATCTTGTAACGTTCCTTTGCACGCATTCAAGTTTTTCAATCAGATATGCTTGGTGAGGATTCCACGCTTGACAAGCGTACTCGAGTATTGGACGGATCATGGATCTATAACCAGTAAATAGAGCCCTAGAGTGAGATCCAAATTTCCGCTTGAGTAAGCCCAATAATCTGTTCGATCTTGCAACAACAGACAGTACGTGGGGTTTCCAAGATAAATCACTGGATAGAACCACCCCAAGAAGTTTGTGTGTAGATACTTGGGTAAGTAGCTTGCTATTAATAGTATAGTTGCACGGAGAGGGAGTTCTAGCCCTGGTGAACTTCATGGACTCGCATTTGTCAGCATTTGTTCCTAAAAGCCACGAGGACTTGATAAAGATTCAGGGATGTCATTGACGTATAGGATAAATAACAGGGGGGCAAGAATGCTCCCCTGTGGAACACCAGATGTGACAGGCGCCCAGTCAGATTGGCAGCCCTCGATTACAACACGTTGAGATCGACCTTGGAGAAAATTGGATAGCCAGGAAAGTAGAGAGCCGGTAATGCCAAAGCGTTCTAGTTTGAGTAGAAGACGGTCGTGAGGAACTGAGTCGAAGGCCTTTTCGAAGTCCAGAAATATTACATCGGTAGAGAGGCGTTTACCTAGTGCTTTGGCCCATTCATGGAAAAGGTGTATCAACTGAGAGGTACAGGAGTATCCAGGACGAAAGTCATACTGATGACTACTAAGTAGATTATTTGATTCAATAAATCCAAAAATGCGATTGTATATCAGTCTTTCCAGGGTCTTTACAATCAGACTCGTAAGAGAGATACGACGATAATTCTTGACTAGATCTTTTTGGCCCTTTTTGAAAATTGGAATGACGTGAGCAGATTTCCATTCCACAGGCAAGGTGCCAGATTGGAGTGAAAAGTTAAATAAATTTTTCATGGACTCTGATATAGCTGGTGCAGCCTCGCGAAGCATACACGCTAATATCCCATCCGGACCATGAGCTTTTGTAACGTTTAAACCAATGAGCAATTTCTCGACCTCAGATTTAGAGCAAAGTAGACTTGAGATGACTTGATCAGTAAAAGGTTGAAGATCGTCACGTAACTTCTCAGGAATACCAGGACTCTCTATAAAAACCGATGAGAAGAAGTTGTTGAATAGCTGTGCTTTATCGAAGCTGTTTGAAGCCTTTTGGTTCTCCAGGGATACTTCAGGTGGAATAGATCGTGATTTCGTCTTAGATTTTATGAAAGTCCAGAAACGTTTAGGATTGTTACTGTTTTGAAGAGACTGAACATGGTGCCAATAGCTCTTGTTTATTTCAGATTTGACCTAGTTTCTACACTGCCTATATTTTTCCCAGTCAGATTGAAGTTGAGATGATTTAGCTTTTTCCCATAAGCGTTTCCGTTTGTGAAAAAGGCGACGAATTGCAGATGTTAACCAAGGAACATTTCTTTTTCTTTTCAAATGATGTGTATTGATGTTTTTATTAACAGCAGCAAAGAACAAAGAAAAAGAAAGATCAATCAAAAGATCAAATTTAAGATCAAAGAAAAAATGATCGTGATCGGGGGCTCTTTTCAGAGCTCACAGAACCCCCGATCCACCCTTATCTTGTACGAGTAGTTCCACCTTTTCTTGCGAATAGCAATCCAGTGTACATAATTCAAATGGGCGGTGAAGCAGCCTGGAAATGGAGAGTGTTTTACAGGCTGCCTCGTAGAGTATTTGATTCACTCCTGTCTCTCGGCTAAAAGCTAACTGAATCCTCCTGCGATCGCATTGGTCTCACAGTCGGTGAAAATATAGGGAGATTTAAACACAAGATGGACTTAATTACAAGCGGTAGACTGAGGCAAAAAATACGAGCCGAGACGTGGGTTAAAATTACAATAAACCCCAAGGAGATTGCGCTAACACCAAGTGATGTATTGGCAAGAGTGACGAAAGAGAACAACGACCTTCGGACCACAGTTGAAGAAAAGACCGCCGAGTTATACGATTCAGAAGGTCGGAGACTTGCCCACAATGGTAAACAATTTACAGAAGTCGGAAAGAAACAGTAGAACAGATATTTAACCGAGATACGGTAAGTCAGTTTTCAATTCCCTCTTGTTACCAACGTAAAAAATTTGGTTGCTTAGGAAATTATATGTGGACCTGTTGGTGAGATTCAACGTAATGTTTAAATACGTTTAAATTTTTAGAGCTTATTTTCCTTTTCTCGGACAGAAAAAAAATCTCAAGACGCCCTTTGGTTCGGAGAAACATACGAATTAATGCCTGAGTCATTTTTGCTTCGGAACAAGAGAGGATTCTGCCACCAAGTAAACTTGGGACCTCCGAAAGGTAAAAAAAATTCTGTATTTATCATCGAAACAACTAGAAAATAATCAACCCTGCAAACAAAGATAAATCTGTCATCTTTTTACTTACTTGACAGAAAAAGAAAACGTACCACTGGTTGGTGAATCGACCGAGGCAAATACACCAAGCAAACAAACATTAGACTCCAGATGTAACATGCAAAAAACACCAGGAAATCGGCCAGGAGCAGGGTTACCATTTGAAGATCTACTAAACCAAAAAATTGAAGAACATGTACGTAAAACTATGAAAGATTTATATGTTCATTTGAGTGATAGTTAGGAATAGTTTGCTTATTTGTTATAAAAACAAATGAAGAGTGAGTAATCTTAATTATTAATATCATGCAAGATTTTGATATGTTCCTTTTTGCTGCAGCTGAAGGAATTTAATCACCAAGACAGTCCAACAGTTAAAGTCAAAATATCAGGCGATAGAGCCAGAATGTCTCATTCTAGCCCCTTGTTTGTTTGTTCCTTTTCTATCTTAGATGAGGGTCAACACGTTCTCTCTTGTACAGGTACACTGCCTTGATAGTTTATTGTTCTGAATTCATGCAACTACAAGCCTAACAGGAAGAACAGCAATGCAGACAGTACAAAATGTAGACAATCAAGGTTGGAGGTTGATAGAAGAAAAGAGTTTTGTTGCACGAGGAAAGACTCGCCATTTTTAACGGAAGTCGAACCTAGTCTTGCTAGGGTCTGAGTTTGACAACGCTTTTAAAATGTCGGCTCTTTGAAAGCAATCACAGTCATTGTTGGTCATTAATTTTATTTCATTCGGTGGCTCTTAAAGAAGCCGTTTGTTTGTGATGCTTCCGTTGTCTGCTGCTCTCAAACAGGACCATTCAGGAACGAACAGGCTTTGAGTGGCTTTCTGGCGGATCTCTAGTTTGACTCACTGATCCCAGAGGTCGAAAGTCTCGGTATTTACGCCGCTGGATGAAAGATGAGTTTAAGTGTAACCTATTTTATTAATTAAAGATGGAGGATATAAGTTTCCTTCTATCAAAGAGCAAAAAAGGACATACTGAACAGTATTTGTATTTGAATGATATTTTTCAATACACTTCAGACTTTATCGTTATACATTATTCGACAATCATTCATCCATTCCATCATCGCTATACATCTGTAGCTCGATAACTAATCTGAAGGACAGAGTGAATACAATGTACTCGTATCGTCTCAAGACACATCATCACCAATAAAGATCAGTGGTAAGTAATACTTCACACTACAACATGGAGCGAAGTAACTTATGTTAGGAGCGAAGTAACTTATTTGATAGACCGATCTAAATTTTGAGTGGGGCGATCTAACTTTTGGCTGGAGCAAACTATCTTGAAGCGATCTAACCAAGGCGCGATTTAACTGGACAACGAATAAGACCGATGACAAAAAAGAGCATAAAACGGCAGAGAACGCCGGAAACCACGAGTTTTATTAGTCTTACGAGTAAAATGTTTACATTTCGAAATATCTAGCATTGTAAACCGAACATATTTCTTTTCCCAATTCTATTCCCTAATGATGCATTACAATTCTCATCAGTTCCTTGCATAACTGAACACCGCTCCACACAACGCGTGACGCTTTCATGAATCAATCCTCTGCTTTCTCTCTAGACGTGAGCTTGGGACGCCTGTGCTCAAAGGACTTACAGACAGAGTATAACAAATATTATATAGACCGCCTAGCTTTGTTTGAGTGGGAGGTTGTCGACGTGGCTCTCTTTTCCAAAGTGCTTCCCACTATTTGCCTGCATATGAAATGAGCGCTACTTCGACATTTAACAAGTTGACAGATATCATAGGCCTAGATAGGTATGAATGTTTCCCGTAGTAAGACGATGAAAAACGCTTACAGAACGTCCTTAATAAAACAAGTTTAGTTTATTACAATTTATGTAGAAATTATGCTTAAAATGCTTAAATATGCTTAGTAGTAGCGACCACGTCAAAGTTTCAGAGACCAAATGGCAATATCGCAAAAACCGGTGTTTACCAGGGCATGTAAGAAAAGGAAAGGAGGCAGTTTTTTGTTTGTTCTTTTCTTTTTCGATTTATAATTCTGAACTCTGGAAGTGCTTCTGTCTAACGATAAAATAAAGAAACTCTAACCAATAGAAAAAATGAATGTGAATATGAAATAATTTATTGGAAGAAACACAGCTGGTCCTTGTTGTTTGAGATCATCCAACGCGCAAAGAGCTTTCCCACGCACCGATCGCTCGTCAGCGTGCGCACACATCTTCCTGTTTTTTACTCTTATCCACGAGATAACATTTTGTAAATTAGATAACAGTAGCTTTCTACAGTTTGCTGGGAAACAGCCCTTGCAAAAAATCTTCGATCTTGTCCAACTTTTAGCGACTCACTTGGAAATTGTCGCTCTAACCTTCATTGTCCTCATGTGACATCTGCTTAGTTGTATTCTATTACCAATAGAAATGTCACTTCATGTGATCATGTTTATTTTTGACTCGCGGATGCACGCACAATTTCCTTGTGGAGCCCTATCATTAGTTTTACTTTCTTCTGGTACATGGTATGTGAACGAGTCTAACAGCTACCCAAAGGTAAGTTTATGAAATTTATGAACAAAAGAGTTCTTAAATTATGACTTTTTTTGCATCCTCTTTGAAAAAAAAAGATTAAAAAAATTGTTTAATATAATACGAGTTACGACTTTTAAAGGATACAGAATTGGATCGATGTTTTGAGACTATTAGTGAGATCGTATTCCGTGCAGTTCTAGTGGATGAGTACTGGTTGCAGCGTTTTTCTAGGACATTACATCCAGAAGTCTTAAATGTTCGCTAATATTTATTCGTAATCGTTACCATAATTTACCATAATCAGTCTCAAATATGGCAAACATTTGAAGCAGTCCATGTATATGAACCTTTATTATGAGTCATCATACGACAAAACAATTAAATTCAAATTGTCCTAAGTAAAACGACTCTTGTTTTAAGGTGAAATTTCTCCAATTGTACACAACAAGATCAATCTCAGTAAAGGGTAATTTACCCGCTGTATTGCAATCCTGTATGAACTGCGTCTGCTTTGTTCTCCAAAGGATTATCATTGGCGTAGTATTCACCATTTGATACGATGAATCATTTTCTAGTCTAACGACCGATAACGTAGCATGGTTTTATTCTTTTTTGTGACAATTTGTTACTGCCGCGCATCAGTAATTTCAAACGAGTAGACTGGGAGTGTGTCGTGTTTACCCACTAAATTCGAAATGACAATTTTGTCGCCAGCATTCTCATGCTGAAAAATGAAAAATGTATTTTTAAAATGGAAATTGTGACATTAGGCTTATTTCCAAGAGACAAATGCCTTATCTCGCAAACGATTCACGTTTTGAATATCATTCATTCAATATGAAAAAAAATATCAAAAGTGAAAAGTGTATTTTTAAAATAGAAATTGTGATAAGCTTATGGCTTATTTCCAAGAGACAAATGCCTTTTCTCGCTAACGATTTACGTTTTGGATATTATTCCTTCAATATGAAAAAAATTATTATTTCAACTTCCACCATCTTTTCATTACTACGGTGGCCAAACGTATGCAACCATATGATGGAGAAAAAATTGGAGCGATCAACTTTTGGCTTCTACGAATAACAAACTAACACCAATGTGAAATTTACCACAGTCGTCATAATATTCCATTTTAAAGACGAAACTTAAAATGACGGTTCTTTCGTAAATCTCCAGTACAATGTGAGCTCATTGTATTATACGGGTTCACAAAGTATTCCCCTCCAATTTATATAAGAGCGCTCAATCATCACGAGCTGTCAAATGCTGCAAAAAATTTCCTTAAGATGTCACAGAAAACAGGTGAAAAATTCATGTCGTTACTCCTTGATCTTCGAAGATTTCGAAATTTCCATGATGAATAACATTTAAATCGAGGTTTTGAGTAAATTATGTAACGACTAAATTATTCCTACGTTTATCTAAAATTGAAAAATTGCTAGAAAATTTTAATTTATGCGGGAAAGCAAAAGCTGAGAAGCTCGGAACAAACTGTTGTCCCTGGTAATGACTGACGTTTTGACAAACGCAACAGACGTTTTTCTTTAATAGGAGTCTCCGCAAGACGGATCAAATAAGATCATCCACTCGCATAAATTGAGTCTGGCGGTACTTGTTTAGGCGTCAAGATTTGGTGACTTCGGTTTTAGGATTTTTTGTGTAAAAGCGATAAAAATAACCGAATTATGTATCAGGAAACGTGAAAATTTACGTATAAAATCTAATGATTTTACACTTGTAAAATAATTAGAACTCATGTACTCACATCTTGTGTGTCCGTTGTGGTTTCCGGCGTTCTCTGCTGTTTTAAGCTTGTTTTGTTATCACCGTTATTCCTGTTATAATCTGACGTGTAAAATGTTCACATTTCGAAATATTCATAAATCGATCATATTTCGTTCCCCGTACTATTCTTACAACGTGTTCAAATTCTCAACGGTTCCTCTCGTAACTTAATACCGAGTCACACAACGTATGGTGCTTTCATGAATTAATCCTTTGGTTTTACCCAAAAGTGAGCTTTGGACGCCTGTGCTGGACCTGCAAATGATAAAACGTGAAGAAATTTTATCATCGGGAGGATATATCGTGTCCTTCTGCAGGTCATCTACCTTATTCAAGTTTATAGCGGTCTTTCTACCCTAAAAGCAGATTTACCCGAGTCAACCCGCCTGGCACAAAGTTCCTCACAAGCCGAATAATTCTGTATTCTTATGATAAGTTCTGTTGAAATTTCTTTTACACTTAGTGCGGAAGGTCATTATCAACATGGACAATTAACTTTTGTGCACGATGCATGTTACGATGTATCACCTTCAAGATTAGTGAAATTGAACTCAAGTTTGCAGTTTGGATCTTGTTTGTCGCTGTTGACGATTTTACAAGGGTACAGCCGCGAATTGAAGGTCCCTGCAAATGATCTGTGAGGTTATGAAAAGACGCGGATCTTGTTTTGAGATAAAATAACGTAAGGAAATGATTTTTTTGGGGGGAAGACGTTCCGATATTACCTTTGTTCCATAGTTTTGTGTGAAAAAAGCAAAATTGTTAACTTATATTATTCTTTTTTTTCTTCTTCTTCTTAACTACTGGAGTGTATGAATTAAGGTGATACTTATTTTTAGCTTAAAATAGTCCAGCCTGCAGGTCACTTGAAACATCAAACTACCAAATTGTCAGCGTTTCATGATAATGGATAACTTTTCGCCTCGAGAAGCGTCGACGTATTTAGTACTGTTAACTCTTACCGGCGCTTTATGGAATCGTCCATTCGTCAAAGGTGAAAAATGCGGTCCCAATATACAAGGTAAGTAATTATAGTTACTTTTGAACTTCCTGGTTAAAGACCATGTAAATACGAGTAGATTTTTCTATATTTTAAATATTTATGTATTCGTGCAATTATTCATGTATGAATGTGTGTATGTATGTAGAAATCTATCTATTTTATCAAACTATCTATTTACATCTTTATACATTAAAATCCCCTGGAGAGTGACCTAATCACGAAACAGGCTTGTCGAAGTAAAGCGCAGTCCCTTTGTTTTTTCCATAACTCAGTTCTTAAATAAATATGAAACAGTACTGTCTGCAGCTAGTTATATATATATTCGTTAAAAAGTAGATGCACGCAGTATGTAGATTTCCTATAATAGGAACAATACCTTTTTTCCATTTCGACAGCAGCTATTGTACTTTCCTTTTGAAAATTTTCCCCATAATCAGTTCCGCCAACACTTTTGTAACGGAAAAAGCAAATTTGTCTATATTTTATATATCTTCTCGAAATGCAACGTTTTTCAAAACGGCTGTATATATAAATAGGGATAATCGTTTTAATCTTATCCCTCTCGCAGAGAAACCCGTGGTCGAAATATCTTCAAGTCCAGAGAGCAACATTTTCCCAATTGGTGCCTCCATAAACCTGACTTGCAAGGCAGAGCCAAGAGCGCAAGATGAATTACAATTGGATAGATGGGTCAACTACATCCGGTGGTATGATCCACAGGGTAATGAAGTTGGAGAAAAGTGCCAGCAACCTGATCGAAAAAAGCGTGTCAAAAAAAACAGCTGCCCATTAGTGCTTAAAAATCTGACAGTTGACAAATTTGGCAACTACACTTGCCAATCAGGCAATGATTACCCAAATCACTGCACAAGGAAATCATTTAATATAGGGATCCAAGGTAAGCAAATGAGGCATAACATGCCCCTGGTGGACGGTACACATACTACGTTTTGTTATGAAAAGATGGGTGCCGTGCATTGGGTTTGTTGCGATGGAAATAATTGAAATCTAAAAAGTCCTCTGAGGTGGACAGATAAGCAAGTACAAAACATAGTAGGTATAGCTTATCGGTGAAGGAAAGTTCCGCAGAGTTCATTTTTTCGGCGGTTGGCTAACAGGCCACGAAAAGCGACAATCAAAAAAGAAATTCTACGAATAGAAAACGAATAACTTAACTGCTTTTGTAATAAGTGACAAAAAGTGGGTTTACCGCAAAACGAAAAATTTAAACAGGAGCATTCACTGCTCTCATGCACATTTTACTTATTGATATGAGCAACTGTTTCTCACCCAAACGATGCGATTCTAAATCTGTTCACCAAAAATAAATTAACGCTTTGAGATAAGAAAAAAAAATAAACTAATAGTAAGAAATTGAAAAAAAAAATGAGGAAGCACCCACTCCGGTAAGGGAGACAATGCCTTAAAATGTTCTCTCCGAACACATGAATATGACCATAAAGGGGTGGTAAGCAAAGTCTAGATAAAGTCTAGATGCAACTGATATTCCTGTGTTGTAAATACAAATACATAAAATGCAAAACCAGATTATCTCAATGACAAAAGGGGATATTTATTGCGATGTGCTTTTTTCTCAGGTGCTGCGCCTAAGTTAATAGGAGTTCCTCGGAACCAAAGTGCTGATATAGGGGCCAATGTAACTTTCAACTGCACCGCCATAGGTTTCCCTAAACCAATCATATCATGGATCAAGAACAGTGATTCATCTGCCTTACAATCCAACCTGAGTGTAAAATTCATTAACGATTCCATGGACGATAAAAGCATTCAAAGCCAGCTGCTGTTAATTGTTGGAGTGAAGATGGAAGATTTTGGAAAATATCAATGTAAGGCAGAAAGCGTCGTTGGAAAAAATTTGTCATTGCCAGCTTTCTTAACACCGAAAGGTTCAGGTGAGACATGCACATGCGCAGTGGTGAATTGATTTCAGCGGGTTCCTACACTTTGTCTGACTTCTTTTTACAAATAATTTCCTTAACGGTAAGTATTCTTCGAATCAGTTATTTCGGATGCCAAACAAGCTGGCACCGACATCCCAAAGAACGTCCGTCAATAAAACAGCTTACAGCGTCACATGCATTCAGATAAAAGCTTCAATGTTAATTTTCAGATGACCAATCACCTGAGATTGTTAAGGGCCCAAAGAACCAAAGTGTCCCCATCGGTTCCGATGCCATTTTCAGCTGCACTGTTAATGGTCTTCCGAGGCCAACCATCCATTGGATAAAGGACGATGCTTCACATGCTGTACAATCTAACACCAGAGCAAGAGTTATTCAAGGCAACCGAACGAGCCAGCTGATGATTACAGGGGTAGAGATGGAAGATTATGGAAAATATCGCTGCATTGCAAATAATAGCATTGGAAGAAGTCAGTCAGAAGTAGCTGTATTGAGGAGAGGTTAGATATATTATGAATTTAGTTAGGGAAAAAACAAAGAGGCTACGCCATATTCCGACAAACCTGATTCGTGATATATACATATATATAGGAAGTCTGCAAGTCGATTTTCGCGTGGAACAGTGCTCAATACGTTGAAGCAGAGCAGAATAAATATTATGAGAGGAAAAAAGGACGCAACTACATTTCCCGACAAGTCTGTTTCGTGAATCGCTTCACTCTTCAGGGGTTTGAAGCCTGAAGAGTGAAGCGATTCATGAAACAGGCTTGTCGGGAAATGTAGTTGCGTCCTTTTTTCCTCTCATAATATTTATATATATATATATATATATAAATATTATGAGAGGAAAAAACGACGTAACTACATTTCCCTGTTGCGTCGTTTTTTCCTCTCATAATATTTATTCTGCTCTGCTTCAATGTATTTAGCACTGTTCCACGCGAAAATCGACTTGCAGACTTCCTATATATATATATATATTGAAGTAAATAGAGAAATAAGGATCAAAATCACGAACACTGGGATTTAAAAATCCTTTCTTCCTCTTCTAGACTTCTTTAATGTTATTTTCCATTCTCCTTCGTCCTCTTCCTCTTCATGCTTTTATTTTTAATCATTATTATCATTATCATGATTATCATCATTGAAAGATAATGTTATTCAGTGATAGACCTTGCCGTTTAACTAGGGTCTTGCTCGGTAGAGCTTCCGAAGTTCAAATTTCAATGTCGTAAATTTTGACCCCTATTGAGCTTTTAGAATTGTTTTTACTTGCTCTAACTTCCATCTAAAAAGTGATTCTGGAAAAAAAAAATTATGTATCACAGCAATTTTATTTCGTGCAGACACTTATTTATAAAAGTTTTCAATCCGTATGTTAATTATTAGAATGATTATCTTTGTTCCATCAGGTCGCAAAAATGGAGAAGAAGCCTCAACATCTCAGATGACATCAATTGCTGTATTATGTGCTTCGGTAGCTGCTTTTATTTGTTTAATCACTGTGCTTGTGTGGCATCGGCTTAGAAATGGTGGTGAACAGGTAAATAATAGGCGACTTCGTTAATACTGGTGGTAATATGAACTCACTCTGTTGGAACTAGGGTCAGTTACGTTTTTGCACCTCGGGAATATGGATCTGCAGTCGTTATCACATTCTCACTAAGTGCAATTGATCTTTCTGCTCTATCTCGGAAGGGAAAAGGGTTTTCTTAGAACATGCGAAGCGTCTCTTGACTCTCGTCGCATCTCGCCCTGACAAAGAGCGGTAAATTCCAGTGACCCATTGGACTCCGGTATAAGCGAAGTTGTGTAAGGAGGATTTTCATCAGTTGACTTTTAAATGTGTCCATTTCCTCTTAAATAAAAATTTTATGGTTTTGTTGGGTCAAACGCACACAATGTCGAGGCTACGGAAAAAACCATTTCTTTCTCTCCCAAATTCTTCTTTTCTCCACTTTGGATCAATAAATATCTTCAGTAGTAGTATGCTAATATTTGAATTTATTGTAAGGCTAAGCTTGTGCGGCTCAATTTTTGGGGCTAATGAAGCAATACAATCAAAGTAGAAAGCTATATTTTCCTGCTTAGATGCCTTAAAATGATTATCATGATAAAAGAATATAACGTAAGGATTTAGCTGGAAATTTATGCTTCCCTTTCAAACAAGCACTAATCAAATAGCAATAAGATTGATGATCCAGAGTACAAGAGGTTTCAGTGCAACTCACTCAAATCCCGCATCATAAAAGAAACTCAAACAAAGTATGACTATGATTAAAACTGAACACGCTTCTTGTACACGCTAAGGTGCAAATGCCCCTGTTGTGTACAGTCGAAGGTGGATTAGGCGACAGAGAGCCTCCAGACGGAAGCAAGCAGCCTGATTCGATGCAAGAAATGAACGAGAGAGGCCAGAAGAGTTCAGATTGGGGTGAGAAGACTGCAGGTGGTGATAATGTCATCGCTTGTGGAGGCGTTGACTCATGTGTCGACGAACAAGGGGATGGGAGAGAGATCTCTCGTGAAACTGAGGACGGTTTTGACAACATGGAAAATCTTGAAGTGTTGGACGAAGTACTCGGTGAAGGTGAATTTGGGATCGTCTACAAAGGTCGATATGGAAAAGACGGAAATGTCACTGATGTAGCGGTGAAGAAGCTAAAAGGTACAAAAAATGGATCAACAGATACTCCCACCTATAAAACGTCAACTCGTAAGTTCGTTAATGCAGTGGTATATCTCTATATGTTTTTCTATGAGCTTACTGGCCACTCCATGTGGTTTTAGCCTAAAAAGATCTAAACAGCTGCCCTTGACATCTAATTTAGTGGCTTAACTCTTCATAACCTTCTTTGGATTTTACTTCTGCCTCTTCTGAGTACTTTCTGCAGCCTTAACCAAGCCACATTTTCCACGTCATTATCCTGTTACCATAGCCACATGCAACGAGCTAACTGCGTGAAATCAAGTATTTTAAAAAACCCTCTGTCTTTTCTCTATGAAATTGTAGGCCCTAATGCCATTGCAAAAAAAGCCCTGCTCAATGAGATAAGGACTTTAAAGCATGCTGGAAAACACCCAAATATTATCACTTTAGTTGGCACACGGATAGAGGGAGGTAAGTCAGTCCTCGACAAAGCAACTTCCTTAGTGATAGGCATGTAGAGTTTGTAATTTACCGGGTTAGGCTACAGCCGTTTGAAGATCAGTCGAAACAGAAGTAATCTTATCATTTAAGGAAACTACTCCAGTTACACTGGTCAAAAATTTGTTTTTCCTTGATCAGAAACCATTCCGTTAAGGCAAAATGCTAGACAAATCATTTCGAATACTTTATTCTTGGTCCTTTGGATCCAACTTGCTCACCAACCAAGTCTATCTGTATCAACTTTCAATCGTTTGCTGTACTCTCTCCAGGAAGTATTCTTGTTGTCACTGAATTGATTCGTGGTGACAGCCTGGAAAATCTCTTAAAGGCCAAGAATACGCCAGTGGAATGGAACAAATATCAAAACGTCTGCTGTAAGCTGAATGATCGGCAATTGGTTACAATTGCGTTTCAGATCGCCGAGGGAATGCAGCATCTAGAAGAGAGAAAGGTAAGACCGACTCGCTGTGTGTAGAAATGTGAAAATAACAAATAAAGAAATGAATAAACGCAGGCACTATGAAATATCGAAGGTATTATATTTCTATAGAACCATTTCGAGGAAAATGACTTTGTGAGAAAATCCAAGCAGGAAGCTACACGAGTTCAACATCCTTATTTAGAATTTTGGTAGAAGCCACTCATGTCGTCTAATATACAATTATTGTACGGGTCTTCTCGCACAGTTCGTTCATCGCGATCTAGCAGCGCGGAATATTTTAGTCGATGCCAATCTGGTGGCTAAAGTTGGAGACTTTGGATTGGCCAAGGACATATCCGAAGCTGGTATATACACCATAACCTCAAGCGTAAGTGTGCAATCAATATCGAATACTAGAAGAACGCAAACAAACAAACGCTAGTGTATTGACGCTTATGTTCTTCCATAACATTAGCGGACATGTTAAATCCATTCCTTCTAGCAGTAGATCTTTATTAGATTCCCCCTCCCCCCTTTAAAGCCCCTTTACACCTCAAGGGCGACTGGGAAGCATTCCATAGCTATTTTGTAGTTTTCAAGGAGCTGGGTATCCTGTGACGTGTATACTCAATCATGCAATGTCGCGACTTTGATGTTAACAAATGATAATGATCACAATTATGATAATGATAAATGATAATAAAGATATTACCACTAACAATAAAACTGATATCGGCAATAACTCTGATACAAATACTAGTAATGATAATTATGATAATAATGGTATTATTGCCGATGATAATAATCATTATTATAATAAAAGTAACGATAATGGCGAATACAAAAGTTGTTTTCCTGGATTTTATAGCAAGTCAACAATAGTAATAATAATAACAAAAATAATAATCATTATCATCATCATAACAATCTGAGAAAAAATCTTATTATGTAATCTGAGTAATTATGATCATAAGTTTAAAAACATAAGTAAATAACGCTATTTCTCTTACTGAAAGCGTCTTTGGGATGGATTCGTGAGTCATTCTTCAACTATTTTCGAGAGGCATCGCCGTTTTACAAATACTCGTTTACACGAGCCTTTCTTTTAAACAGGGCAATTTTCCGTGGAGATGGTCGTCGTTAGAATCTCTACGGGATCTAAGTTTTACATCCGCAAGTGACGTGTGAGTTCCATTTTTTTCGGTAATATTGTAATAAATTTATCTCGTATCGGTTGATACAAATTATTTGCAATAAAGTCATCTGTCTGCCGCTGTGCTAAAGTGGGAGCATTATTATGAAATTAAACAGCTTATTATTTGCTTTTTTTTTAAAAGCTAGGTTAGAATTCTACTTATTCCAGAAGAACTCTGACAACTTAGTTGTGTTTCGGAATTCATTCAAGATCAATTCTGCGTTGTTTATTCATCTGCATGCATCTATACCCATGATTGTGCTTATTTTCATTTAAGGACGCGTCCTTGACACATAAATGACCTAAATACCCTTTCTTTCCAATCAAGTATCTACAGCACCTATAAGTTGTTTAAAAACGACACCATATGGAAAATAGAAATCGGCAAAAACAACAAAAAACAAAAACAATAATCTATACATTGAAAAAGTCTGACAAATGCTAGGCTGCGCGCGATCCACGTGACAGGAATACTAAAGCGAGCTCTTAAGCTTTGGAAGTATGAATTAGACGCTCAGTTACAATCCTTTCTTATTCCTTGAAGTTATTAAGGCCTTGATGTATATCTGCAGGTGGTCATTTGGTATTGTCTTATGGGAAATCGCCACTTATGGTAAGTGTAGTCTGATGATAAGTGCGACTTAAAGCGATATCCAAATGACCACTAGTCATGTTTTCGTCACGAGCTTCCTATCAGTGTCAGCAAGGCTCCTTATCTTTAGCTTGTTTTTAATACGAAGGTACTTGCGGATACAGTTGTCCTTTAAACCTTGAAACTGCTAGACAAACTTGGACAAGACCAGAGGGCTGCATGGTGTTCAGATAGGGAACGAGTCCTTGCTACACTCTTCTTTCCTTTGCTTATATCATTTGTCACAACTTTTAAACCTTCATTTATTGACTGAACCATATGAAGCCTTTTCAGATCTCTACTTTTTTCATGCATTTACTGATGAAATACTCATTCATTTTGCCTAAAAGCCCTTTTTTAAACTATGATTGGTAAATCATATCTCCTTTCTGCCAACTAGGTGGTTTGCCATACCCCGACATCCCATCACCGTTTGCCTTAGTAAGTCAACTTGCAACCGGATACCGGATGCCTCGTCCTGATCAATGCTCAGAAGAATTGTAAGCATCGCAAGAGTTACATTAAGCTTATAGTGATAATTGATATGTAGATTTCAAATAATCGAGCCTTTACTTACGTTATTGAAATATAATTACCCATAGTTCCAGCCCATTTTTTTTAGATAAATAGCTGGTTGCATGTCAAACTAAATGACAATTAACGTTTCAATGATCCTGTTTATAGGGTGTAACATTAAAAAGACATCTCTTTGCACTCCTCTCTAGGCTTCATGGGGTAAATTAATATGATAAAAGTCTCCAATAACACTTTCAGCATATAATACAGGATGTTTAATAATGCTTTATTGAATTTTTAGATATGAACTAATGAGTTCTTGCTGGAAAGAAAGTCCTTTGATGAGACCAAAATTTTCTAAGATTGCAAGTCAACTGAAGAGTTTTTTGCGAGAAGTCAAGGTAATTAATATGATTGTATCAAAAAGGTATCCACCTCTTCCCGTAGTTTCACCTCTCGGGATTATACATATCTGAGCTTATATCCGTCAAATGTGCCCTTTTTCAGCCACTCTTTCCATCTGCTCGACCTCCCTATCCGCCCATCTATTCATCCATTCATCCGTTCATCTATTCATCCATTCATCTATTCATTTAACCATCCATTCATTCATACAGAATCCATCCATTATGTTCCATCTTTGCCCTTTCCCGACATCAATTCATATTCAACCATTGTCAACAGTCTTATTCAATCTTCTCGAAAGTCAAGGGCTTATTCGTTATTCCTCTGATTCCTTGCAGAGAACATACATAAATATCACAGAGGATAACAACGAAGTTTGATGATGTTTTTTTATGTTAAAGCAAACGCCTCGTCTTATTATATTAATAATAAGATGCCGAGTACATGCACCGCAATATCTCAAATAGGTAATGTAGAATCCTTTATAACCAAGCTTCAGAAAGTGCTTCTGACCCTGGTGTGACTGCTACGTTAAAAAAAAAAACAAAGCTTAGAATTCAATTCATTGGCCAGTGCAAATTGCAATTAAAATAAAATATAAGGTGCATCCTGCTTCAGTCAAAAAGCTAAATTGATTTAAAATAATAAGAGTTACGTAACTAGACTAGCTTTTCGTTGATTTTGAATTCCTGTAAGCACTGCGCCATGAGCTTTTCTTTGCGCACGGAAAAATCTGAGGTCTCGAGTAAAGCTAGCTGAGGAGATATCTAAACTTATTTTTGTTGTGCCTCACCCCTCGCAGATATCAGGGTATATCAGGCGTATACTTAAAAAAACAAAAAAAGAAACAAAAAAATTAATAAAGAACAATAATTAAGGGCGTGCACGGTGTTCTTGATTTAGTACATGCCGTTTATCAAAGTAGGTAATTTAGTGTTAACAACTGAGTTGAAAACGTAAATTGACCACCGTAAAGAGTAAAAACCTGACGTTTCGAGCGTTAGCCCTTCGTCAGAGCGATTAACACTAAATTACTTGCTATACTCTCCCACCGACGCAGCACCACGGTTTTTTTAGAAACTTACCCCCTTTATTCGGTTATCAAAGCGCTTTATCGAGACACCGCACTAGATTACTTTGTAGGTCGATGAGATTTCTTTTCGAAGGCATTTACAAGGATTCTTTTTCAGCACAGTGCTTGCCAAAATTTCCATACAAATGAAAACAATTTTGATGCGCAGGACCAAAAATAGTTTTGGTTGAAGACTCTAAGGTTCATCATGCAACCCTGAACATTGCTTCGACTGTCTCGAAAACCGACTCGTAACGAATAATGAAACTGTAAACATCAGGAACACCGGAACACGCTGAAACACGCCGGAATACGATGGAAAACGCTGGAACACAGAAACACCGGAACACCAAAACATCGGAACACCAGAACAAGCCTGAACACCGCGAAGTATTCAAATAATAACAATAATAATATTAATATTAGTAATAATAATAATAATAATAATAATTATAATTATAATTATAATGAATATAAAAAAGATTGCTGCCTACGACGTTGGAGAACACTTACTATTCATGTCGTTTATTAATCCAACGGGTTTTTTCGATAACCTTAGGCCTAGGGTATCTATCAGAAGCGGGACCGTTTCGGCTTTTTTTAATCAATTCGACGCTGTCTCATACTGACTCACACAAAAGGCCTCGATTTCACACGAGAGCTTTGAATCTCGCTGGCTTGTGGATGCTGTGGAATAGACGTGGGTAAACTGCACCCGCTTAATCGAAAGAAAACCACTGATGAATTCAAAGCTTCAGTATCCCTCTTCCGGAAAGCATTTGAACTTTTAAAGATTGGCTTGTCTAAATTCCCCTCACGAGCCAATATTTCGTATAAATTTCTTCGGATGATCTAACTGACTAATAATGGCAGTTTACTATAGCTGTACAAATTCTTCCAACGCTACGCTCAGTAGCTAACGCATCCTACGGAATCGTCTTAGGCGTCTTGTCTTTGGGACTGTGGATGCACTCTGTCAAAGAGTGAAATAACAGAAACTCGCGCAACATGTAAAACTGAGTTTTGGAAGAAACACAGCTGGTCCCAGTTGTTTACGATTATCCTATGTGCAAAGAGTTTCCCCCTGCTCAAATTGCTCTTCAGCGTATACGCTCTTTTACGCTCTTTCAACCAATGACAGTGCGCGTTATATCCGAACTTTATTATAAACTTATTTATGAATTGGTAGATGACAGCATTCTATAAATTAGCTGACAAACAGGCTTAGCGAACTTGATCTTTGATCTTATCCATGCCTTGTAATTTATTTCATTTTTCTCAAACGACATCCGCTGAGTTGTATTCTATGATTTCCCGTAAGACAATACCAGATGACCACCTGCAGATAGACATCAAGGCCTTAATAACTTCAAGGAATAAGAAAGGATTGTAACTGAGCGTCTAATTCTTATTTCCAAAGCTTCAAAAATGCCGTTTCGAATTACAGTTCTCTTAGTCAATAAAGAGTGCATAATTTTCTACGCGACCTCGTTTTAAGTGAGAACCTATGATTCCAAAAGGTGGTATGTTAACAATTCTCACAGCTGAACCTAAAGGTAAGTGTATTCATTTTTC